CCGTTCCTAGGCAATAACGTCAACAAACGATCTTTCGATTTTTGTTGCCAGGCTCCAACACCAATAAACGATCCTTTCACCTTGGTTGCCTCAACCTTGGACCACACTGCTTCCTCGCCTTCTCTTATCTCATATTTTGTCTTCCTCTCTTCATGCCTTTCTGTCCAGACCTCTGGCAAAATCTTTGAGCCACGAGCGAGACTGGGATGCGTTGCCGAGGTGATAATAATTCGTCTTTCAGCAAGTTCAGCAACTTGATATCGACTTTCTGTGTACGGTTGATTAGTGGCAGTCCTTCCTGGAGCAACTTCAAAGCCTTAACACATGCCCAACGAGACGATGTCTCCGATCTGAGCTTTGTCACTATCGACCGGGGTTTTATTCTACATACACTGCACCTAACCGTTCTCGGCCTTCGAAGCTTCGTCTATCCAACTAGTACCATCCTTTAAAACCAGACTAGTTCTGGCATATCGAATAATCATCTCCTGCCTGGAAGAGCCAAATGATTCTCAAAAGGACAATCCACATTCGCAGCAACACCAGAAAACTGACTGTCATTGTCTGGCAACAAGACGGCGGCACGGATGCCGAGTATACGCCAGAACCCCGCAGCAGGAAAGGCATACCACCGCTGATCGTTCAATTCTTATCCGTCGCTACGTGTCCGGTTCCATCCGCCACCTCGGGAATAGTCCGAGCACCTGCCTTAGCTATTATCATTGTGCTTTCGATGCTCAACTTCCAGAATCCCTCTACCGACAATCATAGTCATCACCATAGTTACCATTAATCGATGAACTTCCCATCATGACAAACGGCAGCAAGACAACCCTTCAGGCGATGCCCGCTGATATCATGTACATTGTGTTTCCGACCAATTGGCTTTCGCAGATGGGAGCATCGACCTCCAGATCCTGCTGATGGCTATGCATCATGCAAGCAATCATATTACAGAGAAGGCTAGGCTCGTGGATATACAACAGACATTGACGCTTGTGCTAGTATCAATGTCTCGAGCGCTGTTTCGGTGACGGCATCTCAGACAATGTTGCTATTGCTCAAATTCGCCATACCACCCGTGATCCCCTTTGATTGATACTATCCAGTATACGAACTCGAGACTGAGTGAGAGAACTTTGTGCCGAGCAATTTTGCAATTGATCTTCAGATCGTCTCATCGTTTGTTTTCCCGGCAGCCGAATCTGGAGATGTGAGACCATCTATCCTGCAAAAGCTCCAATGTGCAACCTGGGATTCCAGCGGTAGAGTTCTAGGAGCTTTTGACCTAGAGCTCTATTCCTCGATAACATTCATTGTGAACGGCTGCAGAACATGTACCGTATGCTCAAACCATCGCTGGGCATGGCACAATTATTACAGTGCAGCTAGTGGGGAAACGAACGAAAAGTCGGAAAACAACAAATACAATAAGAGCTGAAAGGCGCTTGAGCATGTCTCGTGCAATTTGAGTTGATACTGTCGTCGTGATGGTTCTTCCGTTGTCTTATATCGACCCGCGAGTCGGTGGTATAAGCGGTTCTCTCATTACTCGTCCTAGCTGGTGATGGAGAAACGACCAGAAGAGTCAAACTGCGGGTCTTACCGTGTTTAGCGACAACTTAGTCCCCATCAAACTGTTTCTGGGGATCCTGTTCGACGAAGTACGGCAAGGTGGATTCTCGGACGCCATGATAACAACCGGACGAGTGGGTTTCATGGATATCACTTTGCGGACTTTTCTAACATATACTTGTAGAGATTATCAGCTTTCAACGCACTGCCTTGCGACTTTAACTTCCCAACACGGACTGCTCCCCACGTCCTGAATTGCTGCATGGAGGCTTGTTTCCGGGCTTATTTATTCCGTCACTGAACGAATGGATCGAGCTTCAAATGCAACGGGAGGTGCTCCTTCTAATCTGAGTTCACAGTGCCCTTGTTCAACTCCGACAAGAAAAAAAGACACAGAAGGGTCCAAAAAGAGCAAAAGACGATATCCAAGCTGGGTGAAGATTCATCTCCTCCAATCAAAGGGCCAATTTTCGATCAAATTTTCAAGGCAGGGTGCGACCAAAAGTCGACATGGGAGCGGAATGCCAGTGTTCACCTATATGCATAGATATTCAAATGTTGATATATACTACCAGCAAACAATACACTCCCCTCGCTTTTCTTGGTCATATCCGAGCACCCGGGATATGCAAACTCAAGAGGCATCCTGACGCGACCAAAACGAGGAATTGTTCGAATGTCTGATGTCTCGTTGATCAAGTCCCCTATATGATGTCAACCCCTGTTTTCTCTTCCCTATTCTTTGGTACGCTAGCAGTCCCAACATAAGTTTGCTCCCGGCGATTGGCACTACGACCTACTGTACCAGGTCCGCCTCCCTATGACTTGTTGTGCTCAAGCGGCAACGACCACTGACTAGGAAAAAGGAATTCCTAGGTCTAATGTGTGCTGCTGAAGAGCAAATCAAAACAACCCTTCTTGTTCGGGTTTTGCGGCACTGCTAAAGACCCCTAGAGGTTAGCGGAATCCAGTTGTCGAATCCGATGATGCACATTGTCTTCTGAATGCTCAGGCAAAGCAAAGCGGGAAATTCTTCTGTTGCGAAAATAATTGAAAAAGAAGGGGCTCTGTCAGGATCCCTCACACGAAGAGCCTGTATCCAATATACTTTAAATCAAAAGGTGAAAATCTCTTCTTGTCTTTTGATTTAAACATGGATATCTCCCGGCCTCTGGCCCCCATACTAGGGGTACCGGAAAAAGAAAGGCTTCCGCCAAAGCCCCAGTCAATTGAAGAGTGAAACTAGACGATTCTAATACAACCGGCCAGGAAATTATGTCCCCTCCCCCGGGGCTGACAAGCCCCGCGATGGGCCCGGATCATGCAAGCGGGCTGCTCAAAAGCGTCGATATAACTTGATAAAAACGAACAGGTGATCGTCCATGGTGTGCAGTAAACCTGGATCGCAGCAGACATGACAGAAAGGATCCCTGCAGGTGGAGCAGACGTGGACTGGCATGGCGGTGTTCTACAGCTTGAGCTTCTCAGACCTTGAATCCTGATGCCCCTGATGCCCCATCTACCTTCGGTTATGTTACCACTTTTCATCTTTTCCCGTGGCCATTTCCTCTTATTGCTTGTGTTTGTTCACATGTTGTGCCCCTTATCGAATACCAATGTCCTCTTCGCCGGGATAAAAGTTGATACCCTGTTACGAGTACGACGCACCAGGAAATGAGGACTGGTTGAATTTCCTGCATACAAGCTTGACTCATTCCAAGGTATGAAGGCAAGCATTGCCATAGTCAGCCTGGTTCGCACAAATGAGATGCTATGGTTTCACATCATCGCCGAAAAGTATATTCTGGCAGCACGATGTGATGTCCCTAACCATTGGGGCTTCGCTGGCCCAAACATGCATGATATATTCTATCAAATGACTCGGCCAATCGACTTTCCCCCGGCATGTTGCTCCTTTTGGACTTTGGTGCTCTTGGTTTGCTGTTAGCTTGTGATAGCTTGTTGACTTTCTGGAGTTCCTTCAAATTCTCAGGAGCTTGAGCCTTCCGACATTTTCTCAAAGGACATCCACTTCAAGATATGTGGAACCAGAAGAAGTATTCGATTACACGGGGGAGGATGGGGTCACGAATGATCATGAAATGCTCAGCACTTTTGGTGCAGCAACAGATATCAGCGAGGGCTCGCATTGCAATCAATATGCTGCGTTCCAAAGATATTCGTCCAATATCACAGAAGAGAAGCAATCTCGACGGGAAATGCCACATGGTGGATGAATAAGCTAGCCGACATCATTCATCCAGCTCTGATATGGCGAGTGAGCCGTTAAGCTGTTTAGAGACTGGCGACAAAACACGATATGCCTAGGATAGCCAAGGAAACAACCTCGCCTTTCTCGAATGTCTCCGTATCCAGTTTCCCGAGGCACTCCTGAGCCCCGAGCTTCGCTCATCTTCGTTCGTCCAAGCGGCATGGATAGCCGAGTGAAAGCATGAGAAAATCCAAACTCCGACAAGTGAACGGAAAAGCAAGAAAGGGCCAGGATACCATACGCTCAGATCTTTGGTATTCATCTCGACCGAGTCATTGGTGGGACACAGCGTGCTGTCGAGACTATCTTTTCACCTTTCAAACACAACAGCATTAGAGCTACAAGGAAAGGAGTTCGATGATATGGCTCAGAGGTATATAGAGTTAAATGGCCCTGTCGATTGGCCGAAGACAAAGGATGTGCTTTGGAATTTTCTGACAATTGTGAAAACGTCCGAGCTGCTGCAGAAGAATTGATGGCGAGAAGCCAACTTAGAAAGACTATCTTTGCCCCTTTCAAGCTGTGGAAATAAACTTGACTTTGTAAACGGCGGACCTGTGAATTACTGTATCGGGTTAATTTTGCCTTTTTGGGTTTAGCTCCCTAATACGCTGTAACCTCCCTTCAACCCCCCCCCCCGACATAAGAGACCCTTCTTCGCTGCTCTTCCTCCCCCTCTCTCTCACTTTTTCATGCTGAAGCTGCGTTCCAGACCAGCTCAAGACCATCATCTGGGCCATTGATTTGCCATGGTACCAATATTCACCGCAGGGGCGTAAAGGTCCCAAGACAGACGGGGATCTGTTGTCCCTGCAAGCTCCTGAAGTGGCGATAATTGTCCACTTCCGCTTGAAGAAAATGTTGTTTTTCTGTCGTGGTAGCCTTAATGATCACAGTGTATCCGTGCGTTAGAGGGCTGGCTTTTACAAGGTAGCCCGTTCGATCACAGATGTGGATTTGTTCAAACCCATGGCTTCGGTTTCGGGCAAGTTGACAGTGAAGCCGGCGTGTGAACTCTTGCGGTCCCATGGAGTGTGTCAGAGCACAGCTATCGGTTGTCCGTCGCCTCCAATACTAGATTGTAGGTTCCAGTCTCATCACTGTCACGCGCTCCAAAGAACCTAAAGCTGTTGCTTTCTCCTCTTCTATTGTTCTAGAGCAAGTTGACGCCAAATCTTTGAACATAGGCCTCGAGAAGATAGCCGTAGCAGCCCAGTATAAGCAGAGACGTCATGCCGTGGCACTTGGCACTTGGTATCGGCGGGTAGCACAGCCCATTCTCCTTGAGGCGCTGGAGTATTCCGGTCATCTCGGCACTAAGCCTGTAGATGACCTCCATGTCGTCGGTCATGCTGAAGGACACGGCAAGCGACTGGGAGAAGGCGATGAGCTCGGTGTGTGTGACTACGAGCTGGCTGTGCAGGCTCTCGCTCTTGAGCGAAGCGGCGGCAGAAGGCGCATCACTGCTGGAATGGGCGTCATGGTGTGTGCCGCTGCTAAAGCGGTGGGCGCTGCCGCCCCCCAAGGGCAAGAACAAGTCGGCGGCAACATCTGAGCTTGCGGTTGATACCGTAAGCGTACCACTGTGGATTGCCTCATCGATGGGCATATAAGGCTGGCCGAAGTCGTCTAGCAAGGGCTGATGGTCCCACAAGTAGGCGGCAGTGTTTTCGTCGGATTGGAGGTTGCCGAAGAGGTCTTGGCTGCAAGCGACAGACGGAGGCAGGGTGATGAAAGGTTCGTCAACTGTGTCATGTCTGTCAGCTTTCTATGCCAAGTACATGTGATGCAAAGGCAAGGAAGAAGAGCAAGGTTCGCGACATACTACTCATGGCTGGGGTTGGGCGTTGGCTGGACGGGCTTGACTGGCCTGTCCCGCGACCGAGCGGACGGCCGGCGTGGCCGCGCGGACTGTAGTTGCAGACTGCACCTGACCGTAGGCACTTGTGGCACTGGTTGGATGAGGCATCCTTGGTGCACCGCGTTTTGGCGGCATAGCAACGATCGCAGGTGGATCGAATAAGGCTCATGCTAGCGTTTTTGACGGTATCACTTCAACGCTGGTAGAAAAGCTAGTCGACCATGAAAAGCGGGCGTCTTCTGGTTGCGAAGCAAGGCTGTGCAGATAGTAGGTACAAGGAGAATACGAAATGGAACAAACTACCTTGCCTGGTCTGACTCGAGGAACCGATTAGTATTGGCGCTTGGCCAAGGAGAAAGAAGGGAACAAGAGAAAATGAATGTTAAAGTAGCAGCGAGAAAACCATTCATTCTCTAGGCTGGCGACGAGAATCGGACAGCGGCCTACAGTGGCCAAGAGGGTAGCTTGGTTTGTAGCGCATGGAGTGTCTACATTAGTACAGAATTTTACAAGACTACTCTCACTTGGGGATTGGCTTAGAGAGATGTATATTTCGATACCATGATGATGCAACCTTTTGATTGCCTTGAAATTGATATATTATAAATATCTTTCAATTTCCTTATCAACTACTATCTGTGACGATCTGGGAGTTTTGCCAGTAGTTGCCATACAATTATAATTTTCATTAGAGCTGAAGTCAATCATTGTGACTAGCCTCATCTATCTCTGACCGAACTCGAATCTCGGTTGTAGAAACTCGGCAACATGTACAACACGCTTGCAACAGCCAGAAGATCACCGTCCCAGAGGACCAACAACCGAGCTCACCATCACGGCAGCTTCTCGCTCCCAGTTTCCAACCACCACCATATCAGGTCCTGGTCGACCCTTCTCGGCCAACAGGCTGGAAGCAGACACCTGCGACGCACGAAGCACACACTCTTTGATCTCAATTCTTAGTCGATCACGGTTGGACCGCAATGTACGGACCGAGACACCGCCTCGGCTGGCGATTTCCTGGACACGCGGGGCGAGAGACGAGGCGAGGGAGCGCCAGTAGTAGGAAGGAAGTGAAGTGGTGTCTAAAGCCTGGAGAAGAGGCTGCAGGAGATTAGGTTTGTTTGAGGCCGCTGTTTGGGCTTCGGTGGCGGGTTCGTCGACTGTGGTAGTGGAGGTCAAGAGAGGGTGTGGTGGTGGGCGGAGGTTTCTGAGAATGTTCTCCAAGGCGACTATATCTTGGCATCGCGCGGAGATGTCGGCGAGGGTTCGGTCCATGGTTGGGAGTTGGGTGAGAGCCCGAGCGAGGGAGTTTACGGATGTCATGATCGATGTGTGCATGAACCCTTGTAATGTTGACAGCAAGAGTTCGGGCTTGTAGTCGGCTGCAGTGGTTTCGCCCTTGGGCGGAGGCGAAAGAAGATAGAGAGTCGTGGCGGCGGTTGCCAGCCGTGCTCGCGCATCACGGGCTTGCTTATATCCAGATGGCATGGATGACTGGCCATTGGCGCTTGCCGAGTTTGAGGACAAGGAGAATCTGTTGATGGTCTGTTGTGCTCGTGACTTGACCATGTTTTCTGCGGGGATGACGAATTCCACACGTAGAGTGCGTGTGACCTTCACCCGATCCAATCCATAGCCTTCCTCACCCTGTGTCGTGGCTGAGAACATTTCTCGTAGATTCAAAATCGTGTATGCTGCTCGCTCGAGTGCACGGAAGCCATCTTTTCCAGTTGACGGTGATGCTGGTCCATCCGGTCCTGCTGAGAGGGCCGGCCCTGTTGTACCTCGGCCTGTAATTTCAGAAACCTGGCTCTCCAGCTGTCTGCCCAGAGTTAAGCATCGCGCGACAGCCCTTGCTAGCCGGACTGTTTCGAGCGAGTTTTCAGCAGCAATACGGGCTTCATCGGCTGCTTCCCATTTTTGTACAACCTCCTTTTGGAGACGCTCGTACCCTTGCGTCACAGAAGCAATCTGCGTCCCTGATTCTTTCAAAATATTATCGGCAGCAGCAGTTTGGCTTTGGGTGTATGAAAGCAATGGAAGTGCTGATTTTGTTGTCAATGCATGGATATGTGTGTCGATCTCCTGAAGATCAAAGAGTACCCGTGACAATGGTGTTGATAAATCCAACGGGGTATCTGTTGCATTGTTTGTGCTTGTCACCAGTGTATTGGCGAATGAAGCTGGTGAGAAGTCTGGGTCCAAGAAGGCCTCATAGTCTATGTATGACGGATCTCCTTCTGCCATGATGGGTCTAGACGTGTCCAATGTTTATCTCAATGCACATAGAAGAAAAAAGCGAAGTAACTAGAGAACACCTTTGAGCTAGCCAATCAGGGGCATGTGGAGTTCAGAAGCAATATTTCTTCGGCTCTCAATGTTTTGATATCAGACTAGGTCATTGAGGAGAGAAGGACCTCACATTGGCCATAAGATAGGAAGCCCACATGGCCGATAACAACGGGGTCACGTGGCATTACTTAGTCATCTTATATATTCCCAGTAGATATAGCCAATGAAGCCATTACTGACTGTGGACAATATAAATCAAGAAATATGAGTGATTAAAGAAACTGCATTATATCCAGCTCATACTACGATATATAGAATGTGGTGACGCGGGCAAATCTAGGAATTGGAGGCAGAGAACCCTCGGAGATCTTGACCAATCTTATAGTTCTATCACGAGAGAGCCAATATCATGATATGTCTCTAGAGCCAATGAATATTTTCCAATATCCAAAATCAAAAGCGTCGACTGCAACTTTCCCAGCGCCTTCCAACGACAGAGCGGGGTCCACAGATAAGAGTTCGGAGGTAACTCCGAGTACCGGACATGAACTCACCTTTAAAAGCACAATTTCTAGATGCTATAAGCCAAGATAATCATCCACCATGTCGACATCTACAACAACAACGCAGCAAGAGACCGTTCGCGTAACCAACGAAGATCAACTACCTCCGCTACCACCAGCGGCAAACGATGCATGCTTCCAGGGTCTTGCTCGTGGAGGTCGAAATGGCACCCTAAAACTCCGCGGAATTCCCACATTCTCAGACCTAACTGAGAAACGACAGTGGATGAAGGAGCACATGGCTGCTGCATTCCGGTTCTTTGGCAAGCTAGGGTATGGGGAGGGTGTCTCCGGGCACATTTCGATGCGAGGTAAGTGTGACCCTCTATTTTGAATGAAATATACATTCTAAGTAAACGAGGGTATTCTAACGACTTGCAGACCCAATCCTCAAAGACCATTTCTGGATGAACCCGTTCGCCAAGCATTTCTCGACTATCAAGGCTTCGGACCTCGTTCTTCTGGATGCTGATGGATTCGTCGTCGATGGTGGAGCTCAGCTCCCTGTTAATGAAGCTGGGTTCCTGATTCATTCAGAGATTCACAAAGCACGCCCAGATGTTGTGGCTGCAGCGCACACGCATGGTATTCATGGAAAGACGTGGAGTTCATTTGGAAAGCCAATTGAGATGCTTACACAAGGTTAGTGGCTTTTCTTTCTCTCTTGAGGTGGAGTGGTTTGGATTTGTGCTAACGAGTTGGATAAAGACGCATGCAGCTTCTTCGGCAGAGTGGGTGTTTACGAAGACCATGGCGGCATTGTTCTGTCGGCGGATGAAGGAAAGGCCATTGCAAAGGCATTGGGCAAGGAAAACATCGCATGTATCCTGCAGAACCATGGGTGAGTCGATTTCGCCGTTGCGTTTTCTATATGCGTCTAGTTCTTCTGGCTAATGTGACTTTACTCATATAGTCTCCTAACTGTTGGTCGAACTGTTGATGAAGCAGCAATCCTCTACTCCATGCTGGAACATGCGTGCCAGTCACAGCTTCTTGCTGAAGCAGCAGCAGCCAATGGTCTTCCAAAGAAGATCATTAGTGATGATGTGGCCAAGTTTACCGCCGATGCTGCCCAGAATCCTGTAAGTGGAATGGTCATATATCCCAAACTGCTCGATAGTAGTGAATAGTTATGCTGACAACTTTAGCACAATTTCTATACCGAGTTCCAACCCGAGTTTGAGTTGCTGGTCGAAGAGACAAATGGAAGGTTCCTTCAGTAAATGTGAACAATATGTATACCACTTTCCGGTTCAGTTTGATTTTCCTTTAAATGTGTAGCCTATGCATTCTCTAAGGTCCAAGACAATAAGTACTTAGACCGAAAGATGATATTCAAAATAACTTTCTACTTTGCGAGGCTGTCCGCAAAGCAGGCGATTTCAAAGGGTAGTAGTGCAGCACAGGCTGGCCATTATCCGATGGTCACATAGATGCACACCACCGCAACTGAATGCTCTTCGGCCGTCGCCTTCTATGTGGCTATCCAGACAATTCTTGAGCCGGCAAGGCAGCATAGGACGTCGAGAGAGCAGATTATCAACCACACTATCTGTATGAGAGCTTTAAATGAAGGGCGTCGGGGAAGCCGTGTTGGCATCAGACGTCCACGGATGATTATACATAACTATCACGTAACTACCTTTCTCATAACAGACCAGACACGATTTCAATTAGTTGTATTTAAGCTTCGTTGGAATGGACGCCAGCCTTAGGTATAATGAGAGACAATGTCTCTTTTCAAGAAGTAGAGATTGTACATAAAAATTTTCATATAGCTCGTCAGATTGTCTGACTGAGAAGGTATTAATGTAAACAAGTATCGAACAAATAAATATGGAAATAATTCCTTCAGAACAAACGCCATCTATACAGATGCAACTGCCGCAAGGGTATACAAAATGGAAAGAATGCATCAAACAGTCCATGGTAGACCGAGGCGTGGGAAGAAAAAAAGGTTGTAACAGGGTAACAAAAAGTCGTTCATAGCCCCAACAGGGAACATCAACGATGGGGCGAGGGGGCGAGCAGGCGCGGGTTCATACAGCATGCTCGCCCGTGTGCTTCATATCATCCAATTCATATTCTTGCAAGCTGCGTTCTCGACCGCGGCCACGGCCAAAGCTCGACTCCTGCTGGCCATCGCCGTCAGATGTTTGTGACGACGGACCAGCTTGGGTGCTGCCACCGTGTCCACCAAACTTGATAGGCTCCAGCTCCCTTCTTTGGCACACCCACATCCCAAGGAAGGTCATCATAGCCGCACTGGCGAATTGAAGTCCCCACCAGAGTAGGTTTGCAGGGATGGAGTGGGAGTATAGAGTAGTGGCGATGAGGTGGAGGAAGTGAATTGTCAGAGCGAAATCCGGGACCAGCTTTGAGCGGGATACAAAAATAAGTAGGAAAATGACGCTGAAGATCCCCCGAGAGGAGATTATAATTAGCCTTTGATCGGAATACTGCCCATAAGGTCGAAACAGTGGACAACTCACCTAACAAAGCAATTCAACAACCACACCAATCCCAACATCCATCCAATGGTCGTATCGCCACGCAGGGAGTCCCATCCAAAGACAAGATCTAGCGAGAATGGTGTGCCATAGACAACTGTCGTGAACAAGATGAGCACCGTGGCGCAGGCATAGTATGCGAGTTGCAGCAAGAGGATCTTGCGGACGATCTTCAGCGGAGGGAGTTCGGTGCGCGACCCCGCTGGTGGACGCCGGCGCGCGGGCATCAACTAAATAGACAGGGGGGATCTTGTCACCCTCAGGAATTTCGTTCAAGGTCGAGGTGTGAAGGTGGTCGGATTGAGCTCGGTGAGGATAAGAATGTGGGGGCGAAGGGAAGGGAACATGCAATGATGTTTGGGAAGACGTTCCAAGTGAAATCCAGAGACGAGAAGTATCCAGTGCCGGAGGCTTCAAAATTATATGTAAATCCCAGAACGTGGAGTGCGTCGACAGTGAAAAAGGGTCCGGAGATGGAGATCGCCTGCTTGGGATCAACAGTCTTGGCGGTCACAGGCCCGACCCGCCAGCAACTGGACATCTGCCGTCACTGACACCTTTTGGCTGCACGACACGCTCCAAACCACAGGATACTCTACTTGTTTGAACTCGACGAGTCAATTCCTCACCCGCTCCCTCTCCGATATAATCATATCTTCAAAATGGTCTGGCTACCTTGGTCTTCCGGCGATTCAAACACGAACGCAGCCTCCGACGGCGGCCGCATTGCCCCGGGCCGAACGAGTCGCGCGCGCTGCTGGGAGGGCCGTGATAAATTTTTTGCCTGTCTTGACAAGAATGATATCCTGGACGGCATTAAAGATGATAAGAAGGCGCGACAGAAGTGCGCGGACGAGGTTGTGGAGTTTGAGGCGGCATGTTCACAAAGCTGGGTACGTACGGTGTGATATTTGATCGGTTGCTCAGAATTGCCAGACTTTGGTGTTTTCTGTGTTTTCTAGCTTGCTCTACGCTACATCTATTCACTGGCAGATTGCTAACTCGAGATTCTTGGTATCTACTAGGTGAAATACTTTAAGGAAAAGCGTGTGATGGAGTTCAACCGGGACAAGACGATTGAGCGCATTCAAAAGGAGGATGCGGCTAAGGTGAAGGAGCTGAAGGAGAAAGGTTGGAACTCGAAATAAGAAGCCAGAAGGACTTTGTCGGCGACTTTTGTACAATATGTAGCATATCCTCTCTTATCACGTACCTTGATGACCACTCTATTTCAAAGGTACATTGCTAGAGTTGCAAGCCTAAAACGGCTTGATTACTCAGTCTTACTACGTATGCCCTGTACAACTCAAGTTCTAAGTTCGAAGGCTCGTTATTTGACTCGGCCTGCCTTTGAGCGCTCTCATGAAAGCGGCACTTAAGAAGCCCCTGGCAGAGGGAATATGAATGAGCTAGGCACACAAACTTTGATATCAAAGGAAGAGATGTCCACAAGCAATAATATAACCCCAAATATCTAGGAAACATCCGTATTATGTCCAAAGGGGGCAAATAAACCAGTAGTCACAATGAGCAAGAGTACAATGGTTGAAAAGACATGTCAACTCCATCCTAAATACCGCCTTGCCCTAATATCTACCTAATATCTTACTGCCTTTGTGACACATGAGAAGCAATGAGCAAAAAAGGAAGGAAACGCCTAGTGTTGCGAGAACTGGTTTTTGGCCAGCCAGAAAAAAGGAACCGAAGCAGAGCACTGAAATCCACCAGTAGGAATGCAAGAACGCCAGGCTCCAAAAATGAACAATGACAAGATGAACCTTAAGTTCGAATGAAATGATAGGGAGTAAGAGAGTCGTGAAATCATTGCTTCCATTTAGCCAGGTGCTGCATCAGGTTCTGTACCTGGGGACCGACGGGTCCCTGGCCCTGCTGCTGTTGTCCACCTAGTCCTTTGGCCAGGAGCGAGAGCAGGGTTGGATCGGTGATGACGGGTGCATTTACAGGTTGGAGGTTGAAGGATGGATGGGGAAGGGGTTGCTGTTGGGTGGTATGCATAGGTGGAGGCCGATGCGCATTGGTCAGGAGGCTGGCGAGGTCGGCCGGAGGTGGGTTTGGTGAGGAAAAGGGCGACTGAGTAGCAGACACGGGCTGTGAATGAGGGGGTCGCTGGAGCGCCGACAAGAGAGTTGAAAGGCTAGGACCATCTAGTGAACCAATGAGGTTCGCAATGTTTGGTGGGTTTGAAAGCGCGGGCATGCCAGGCGGGGGAATCGACATAGGCTGTGCTGGAGGGACGATAAAAGCAGGATTGGGTGCAAATGCGGCTGGGGCTGCTCCTCGCTGCATCGCTTGGGATTGGTGGCTTAGGAGCTCAGCAGACATATTAGGCTCAAGCTCAGGGTAATCTGCGAGGGAAAAAGAGATATGAGCAAGGTGTCGATAAATAAATGAACATAGAATGCACTTACCAAGGAAGCGGACGTTATCCAACCCGGCGGTTCGGTCAAATAGCTGCAGAGGAATTTTCCGAGAGACTTGATTCGGACGAGAGAGGCGAACAACCGCAAGAACACCTTCAATAAACTGACGATGCACGGCGGCGCCAAGAGGGATCCGTGGACCAAGCACTAGGACATCCACTCGCAATCCACGGTTGCGGAAAGCGTTCTCTACATGAAGAACGAAATTCCTTCGCGATGTTAGTGACTTTGTCCAAAGACTACTCGACGTATTCAACCCACCTATCAAGTTCCTCCAGTACAAGGAGCTGCACCTCCGGTACATCTCGCTGAGCTCGTCGAGGCACAGGCAAATCCGCTTCACCTTCATAGATACCACGCGGTCTCGGACTGATGCTGCGGTAACGTCGATCTCTAGAATAAGGAGAGCGAGGAGAACGCGGAGAACGGGAGCGCCTTCGCTCGCGGCGATCAAATCTTTCTGGGGTTCTGTCGCGTGACCGATATCCATCTCTAGACCCCCGAAAGGGTCGCGGGGAAGGCGATCGCGGCGGGCGATAATCGTCGCGTCTGCTGCGGTGAGAAGGTTCATCCCGGAAATCACTAAATGGAAGCCGACTGGGTTCATAGGGCTTAGACCGGTCGTATCGATCAACCGGGCCCCGGACGTTAGTTCGCCCAGAACTGGCACGGCTGAACTCCGGTGACCGGGAACGGCGTGGCGGCGGTGCACGGGAAGTTTCGGGTGTTTGAGCAGGCCGAGTCGATCGCTGAGGCTTTGAAATTTCAAGATCTGGGGACGGTTAGATCTTTCTTTGCGAGAAAGATTGCCGAGTTATGGCTTCAGGCACTCACGTATCTTCCTGCCCCGCACAATGGCTCCCTGTTCGACGCCGAGAGCCGCATGGCAGGAACTTGCCTCCAAAAACTGTATGAAGCCGTACGCCTGCTTGATCGATATCTGAGCCAGTTTACCGTACTTGTGGAAGATATGGAACATGTCTCGCTTGGTGACTCTTTCAGTAGGGAGGTTGCCTGCACATGAGAAAACCGTTAGATCGACGAATGGGAGATTTAAGGAACAATACTGACCAACAAACAACCGAGAGCCCACCGGGAACCGATCCCAAAGACCTTCCGTCACATATATCCGCTCATCGTGCAGGAACTCGTCATACTTCTTTTGGACCTCTGGACCCCAGGGCGCATCATCATCATCGAGCTTGATCGGCCGACCCTGCTTGTCAACACGGCCTTTCTTGGAGGCTACAGAAGGCTCTTGCAAGGAACCCTGAGATTCGGCACCGGTAGATGGGGTTTGCGGAAAGGTGCCAGTGGGAAGTAGATTGTTGACGGCCGGGGTCCCTCCGGAAGCAATGTTAAATGGCTGAGACTGGTTTTGGGGTTGAATATTACTAGGTTGGGCGGAGTAGGTAGGCGATGTAGTGGCAGCATCATGGGCAGAGGAAAGTTGGCGATATGCCTCGCCATTTGGAGTATAATGGGCCTGAATAGAAGCGTGGCTTTGGGCTTGAGGGTGGGCATGGGTGCCCTGGGATTTGAGGGACTCGCCAGCGGGTTGGAGAGACGAGTTCTCAGCTGAAGCGGCAGGAATGGTTGCACCAGGGTTGTGGTTGGAAAGATTGTCGAGGAGACTCTGGAAATTGATACCCGTGTTATGTCCCACGCGCTCCTCAGAAATTAGGCGGTCCGGCATGTTTGATTGCTCCGGGTTCTGGGCATGATCTACTTCGCTCGGAGTGGCAAAGCCTTGGGACACCGGAGCAACCGGAGCAGCGTGGGAATAAGTGGAATCGGGGTGAGAGAAAACTGCGCTCAGTTGGCCGGGATTTTCGGACCCCGAAGCTGGGTTGGGAGGGTAGCATGCAGAAGCAATTATTTCATTCTGCATCCCACGATTCAGCTGCAAGCCTTGGAAACTACCAGCATCTTGAATATTTGGTCCCCCCTGACCATCCTTTGACCCTCCGTGCAACCATCCATGTGTTTGCGGGACCTGATTATACCCCGATCGTTCATAGGTGGAGGTATCGTTGAAGACGGGGTCCATTTGGTTCTCTAAGACTGGGATATTCGATGGCTCTGGAATGTGTAGGGGTCGAGGGCTTTCCGGGGTCAGAGTCTTTCCGCGAAAGTGAAGCGCTTCATCGGGGGGACTGGGCGTCATGTAGACTTCGAGTAGGAGGTTTCATCTACGGAGAAAAAAAGTGAAGAGGGTCCCCCTAGGAATTTTCGCAATCGCAAGCTAAGGTGGGGCGATGATAGAAAAGACGGGTCGAGTTTCTGCCTTTACCCAAGAGGGAAAGTAGACAGAGTAAGGAAGAAAAAATAGGCGATGAAGAAGAAAATGGGGATTAGGTGGGGGGTTCTAGAGGTGAGAAGTGGAAATGGAAAGAAAAGTTTGTCAGGTGAGCAAGTTGGAGGCGTTGAGGATTCTGGATCTGGCATATATCCAGTATCACGAGGGCATATTAGTTTTATTAATCTTTTTTTTTTTTGGCAAAGAGAAGAATATATGTAGATTCCAAGTTGGTGTAGTTAGTTATGTAGAGTGGTTGATGTAACCACTTACTATTAACGAACCACTATAACACTATAAATCACATATAACCATATACATCATTTCTAACCACTCTAACATCACTCTAATCACTTTAATCACTCTAATTCCCATCCCAATCAAATAAAAGCTTCTGTTACGTACGCTAAGCGGGGCCAGACGGTCTTTTATTTTTTGGATTTTAAATTTAGTCACTCCACTTAACTTCTCAAGATAGCCTCATGTATTCCCAATGGCGTATACCCTACTTGAGGGCATTGCCCTTTAGAAGATTTGCATCTCAAGCTGACCAGGATATACAAATAGCCAGGGAGTGGCTCAAGACTCTCAATTCCAAGACTATCCCTCGGAACATCTGCGAGATCTCTTTCAGTCGGTCTAGCGGTCCGGGCGGGCAAAATGTGAACAAGTCAGTGTCTCCACTTGAGGGTCAATAGTACTGAATGCTGCAATGCTAATCGGAAAGGGAAATAGGGTCAACTCCAAGGCCACCTTGAAAGTCCCATTGGACGCGTTACTGCCCTTGGTTCCCCGTCTGATACACCATCCCCTACGCGCTTCCCGATATGCCGCCGAAAGAACCCAATGTCTAGTCATCCAGTCCGACGAGGAGCGGAAACAGTCTAACAATGTGGAATCCTGCTTTGACAAGCTCTATCAGCTATTGCAGAGCTCGGCCAAGGAGGTGATTCCCGGGGAAACATCCCAAGCGCAAAGAAATCGCGTGCAAAAATTGTATGTTTACTCTTCCCATGGAAGCACTCGAGCAAATCTAACGGAAAAAAACTTAGACAAAAGGCTCAAAATGAGGGTCGGATTAAAGACAAGAAACAGCACAGCGACAAGAAGAGTAGTCGCCGGGGAAGCAAATACGATGATTGATAATGATTGCAAACAACCCGATAGCATAGGGACAAGTTCGCCAGTGGACCCTGAATTTTGATAATATCCGATCAACGCCTATGTGTGCTAAGTACAAATACTTGGGTATGCTATGTATACTACTCCTTCGCTGCGCGCTCCGCATTGCGGATGGTAGCAGCAATAACCTTCTCCAACGAAGGATCCAGGCCCTCTGTTGCCTGAACAGGCTGAAGCCAGTTGATCACTTGGCGTGCGAGATCCTTGCCCATAGGATACTCCCTGAGGCGGGCAAGCGAGCTACCAAGCGCCCGTGGGAATTCAGCCGAAGTAGGGGGGATTCCAGCGGTCGGGAACTTGATGTAGCAGATCTGTGTCCGGGGGCTGGAAGGCTTGTTGGCGCGCATCGTCTCAATCACATGTTCCAAAATCTTGCGAAGACAAGGCGCATCCTGGAATTCCCAGACCATATCAAAGAACTCCTGACCGAACCGATCATCATGGTCGAAGTGCTTTGTGGCGGTATCAAAGATGGCGAGCGGGATAGCACCGGTCAGAGCAGGTGTGGAGTTCAGGTTTTGCAGCGCAACCTGGTCTACTTCTCCGTCCGTTCCTGTGCTCGGGTTGATGTCCTCAGCTGTGAGTGACGGGAGCGCAATCATGTCGGCATCGGTATCGTCGACTTCTTCTTGAATCGGCTCGGGCTTCTGGCTCTCCTCGTCAAGACCGAGAATCCGTTGGCGAGCGACCAGCTTTGCGATGTAAATCAATTCCAACTTTGCATATTGAATCCAAATTGTCCTCGCGCTCTTGCAGAACCGTAGACCGCGCTGCATGTAACTCCGTGCCTGTGTCATATCTCCGTGGTCATCGAGGACGTGCTTAGCGGCATAAACCCATAAGTCGGCGCTGGTAGGGTGTAGTCGCAGAGCATCGGTGAAAATCATCTGGAGCTTTTTGTGTGCCTTTTGTCTGCGAGCGTATTCAATGTACTGGACCCAGAGGTTGATATCGCCGTGGAACTTGCGTGTAGCTCGGTCGAGAACGAAGAAAATGCGTCGCTGGCCGTTGAATCCTGCTGACCGAATCCCAAGTCGCTTCACCCGCTTCTTTCGCAGCACATCGAGGTTCATTTCGTATTCAGCATAGCGCACAAAATCCACTGGCTGTGCACCACGCGCGTTGAGCTTGTGCTCGAAATCAGACCGCTTTTTGACAATTGAGGAAATTTCATCCTATTCATGCTGATCAGCTGTCATTCTGATGGAAGAACTCCGCTTTGCGACATACCTTGGTAAAAATCTTCTTGCGCTCATATTCCTTGAGCTCAGGCACTGACTTCTCGAGGAAGAATCGAGCCTTATCTGTTGCGGCGGACATGATTGCTGTTCACTGAAGAGTGTTAAAAAAAAAAGTCGGCATCCCGCATTGAAAAAACACCGATCAGCCCCAGAGTGCGCTTAGCCGCATTGGGTTAGCGTCCAGGGCGCTCAGAACCACCGAGGGATCCGGAAGTTGTTTTCATTTCCCTCAGGGGCCATTTGCTCGTGACATCTACTTGTTTAAGTTATTCTCTCTTTCGTTCTTTTTCTTGACGTTCTTTTCTTTCCCAATTCTTTTTTTTAAACCATATAGGTGCAGAGATTACCTTTCTCTGTGTGCCACCATGGCTCCCCGATATAAGGACGGAGATGCCGTGGTTGCCGTAAGTTCAAAAGCGCCATTCAATGCGGATCAAACGCCACTGACTCGATATTATTTGCAGATCAACGGCAAATGGGTCGCCTGGACTCACACGGTTTTCGCATATGCTGCGTTCATCAGCGCGTTGATTGTCGGCGTTGCTTTGCACTACCATAAGATCGTTCAAAACGAATACTACGGCTACCCCATTGAATGGTTCCCCTCTGTGTCTGCGACCATCGGTGACCGATATCCCGAACGGTCCTTTTTCATGGTCTTCATTGCTATTACTTCCGGCCCTCGATTTGCCCTTGTCTTCCTGTGGTACATCCTTACTGCGCGTCCGAATTCGACCTTACCCAAGCTGGTTGCCGGCGTGGGCATCTTCCGGACATTGACATGCGGTGGTTGGACCTATGTCACATCTACCGATGACCACGATTGGCATGACATCTTCATGATCTCGTACCTGGTGGCCACCTTGCCGTGGACCCTGGGTTGCCTTGCGCTCAGCCCGAACAATCGCCGTGCTGTCAAGTACCGCAAGATTATGGCCAGCTTGTTCTTTGGAACTTTGGTTCCGTTGGTCTACTATTTCATTCAGCACAAGGTCCACAAGGTTCCTGGTGGTGAGTCCTTACCCCTGTGAGAATCCAATTAAAGGTTACCACATGCTAATCAATCAAACATTTAGCCTACACCAAGTATGCATTCTTTGAATGGTCCCTAATCCTGTTCGATGTCGGTTTTGATGCTATCACAACTCTTGACTTTGAGGGCTTCGAATTGGTGGTGAGGGATGTTAAGGGTGTTAGCAGAGGGTATGTACCGTGGCTTCCGAAATGACACTGTCCGCATCAAATGTATAGTGCCAAAGGCTATATCGGTTTTCAAAAAAGAAAACATTGTCTAAGTTTGTGCTCATTAGGCAATTGAAAACGACTGTGGATGCTGTCTTGGAAAAAGAGTGTGTACAATTCCATAACGAACTACAACCATCCCGGAAATTAACCACGTACGTAGGAAGGGCAAGCCAGTGGGCAACACCTTTGGCGAGGGCTTCTTCTGGACCGAGATTATTGATGCTGCCTCAGATGTCTACAATGGGGTAAATTATACCAGTCGACTATTGGCCTCCTGCGTTACTGACAATGGACTCTAGTTTGTTTTCTGGACCATCGTGACTGCTCTGCCTGTCCTTGTCTGGTGTAAGTAAAATATATTCCCTGGCACAGATGGCCATTTCTGATCTTGATAGACTTCCCTCTTTGGCACATGGGTATCTCTGGCTACGAGGTTGCCATCGTTTGCTGCACATCCCCGCTGCTTTACGTTATCCCATCCCTGCGATACGCAGCCGCGAAGAATCTTCGCCTTCTCCATCTGATTTCACTCGTTGGACTTCTTGGATACAAGTTCCAGGATCCTGCCAACCGTCTCTTTGTGACTGGTTTCGCTCTTTCTACTACTTGTGCAGCATGGACTGCTAGCTTCTTTTCCGAGAGGGCCAACACTCCTCGTCTCGAAGCCCGTATCATGGCTTGGGGAATCGGTCTGATCATGTCCGTCGTTGCCAAGTTCGCATGCAAGACCAACAACCCCCTTTGGCCGATTATGCACGCTGAGAATGGTGGCTGGAACAAAATCGGAATCTTCTTTGCTCTGTTCGCTGTTTTGAGGTCCCAGAGAGGCTCAAACACGAGCGGGGGTGATTACTTGCCAGCAGGTGGCAAGAAGGGCTCGTCCATTCTTGCTGCTGTCGGATTTGGCGGTCTTATGTTCGCCATTGTCTCGCTTTTGACTGACTCGAGTACCATGATCTCGTGGGTCTGGGACGGATACCCAGTGCGCGGACCGATCGCAGCCCCTCACGGCGCTCTGACGATCTTCGCAATGGGAGCCGGCCTTGTGTACGGCATCTTCCACCCCGGAATTGCTGGAAGCTGGACTGCTTTCGGCGTCGGTTCCATTGGTGCTGCTCTTCTTACTTGCTACCACCACTGGACTGGATTCTACGGTGCCCTCGTTCTTGCGTTCTATATCATGGCTGTTGCTCCAGTTCTGATTGCATCCAGCGTTCGTCACTCTCCTGCTAGCACATTCGGCATCGGATTCATCGTTTATGTGGCCCTTTTGCTCTTCCACGTTTGGGTTGTCGCCTACGCCTTTGTGCCAGGTGGCCCATTCCTTCGTGAGCACACTGACTGGCTCATGACCACTATGATGCTGTCGATTGGTGCGGGTGTTTTCTCTGCGGCGACCTCGAACTCGACTCGCTCCCGCAAGCCTCACAAGCCTGTCAACCCCAACAGCAGGAAACAGCGATCGTACTATATCTACGTTCTTGCTGTGTTGCAATTGCTTTCCGTGTCTATCGCTTACCTCCGCTTCCCTACCAATGACTACACCCCTCATCACAAGGAGGACAAGATTGTGACTGCTGGTATCTGGACTGTCCACTTCGGCCTCGATAACAACATGTGGTCATCCGAGCGCCGCATGCGCGATGTCATTGGCGAGCTTGAGCTGGATGTCATTGGTTTCCTCGAATCCGATAACCAGCGTATCATCATGGGTAACAGGGACGTCACCCAGTTCATTGCCGAGGACCTTGGCTACTACACTGACTTCGGCCCCGGTCCCAACAAGCACACTTGGGGCTCCGCCTTGTTGTCTAAGTTCCCCATCGTCAACTCTACCCACCACCTTCTCCCCTCGCCTGTGGGTGAACTGGCACCTGCCATCCACGCCACACTCGACATGTACGGCGAGATGATTGATGTTGTTGTGTTCCACTCCGGACAGGAAGAGGACCCCGAGGACCGCCGCTTGCAGAGCGAGTATCTGTCAAAGCTGATGGGCGACTCCCCGCGTCCTCTGATCCTGTTGAGTTACCTCGTCACCAAGCCACTCGAGGGTAACTACAACACCTACGTCAGCGAGCGTAGCCAAATGAAGGATATCGATCCTACCGACTGGGACAGATGGTGCGAGTACCTTCTCTTCAAGAAGCTGCACCGTACTGGCTACGCCAGAATCAGTCGTGATACCATCACGGATACGGAGATCCAGGTAAGTAATATTATTTCTTTGTCTTTTCTCCCACGAGTGCTCATTTCTGACTGTTTCGTGATCTAGGTTGGAAAGTTCGTCATTGGCGAGCCCGAACCCGAGAACGAGATGCGTATCCCAGAGGAGATGGTCCCCGTTGGCCGTCGCTTCCCGGCCTTGTTCCGCGGCCAGGGAGTGCGTGGACACCGCTACCACGTCTTCGATGAGCCCAGGTACTGGCAGTAGACAGTTTGCCTGCGTGAGGAGCGTGAACACGCTTCATTGCGCAAAAGCTTGCTTAAAGAAGATTGAATTTTATGAACCTGCCATATCGTGACATAATTACGCCCAAACAAGGCAGACATCCCACTATCCTTGGGGCTGCCAATATACCTAGCCTGCTTGAATCATGAGTGTATTTTTTGTTGATCGGTTTCCTATTCTACTGTGTTTACTTCTGCCTCGTGCTTCTTGACCTTCTACATCCTCGTACATTGCATGGCCCAATGGACCGAGAGTTAATGTATTGTATTCCACATGGTGTTCTTCTCAAAGGATAACCAGTTACCTGTACATTTTACCCAATCTTCTTTCAGTAGGGCCGGGACATTCTCTTCCTATCTGCTTTGATAATTTTGCCAACTTGGAAACCAAAAACCATGTAAAAACAAAATAGTGAACTACTAATAGTAATTTTTAGCAGTCTTAACTGGGCTGTGGGAATCCTAGCAACAACCAGATCGACAGATCCACGAGATAGCATCTCCTACAAAACCTGGACTCGGGATATTCCTTTTTGTGTCATGATGCTGGAAAATTACAAGCCATCCCAAACTCAAAGGCTTGAAAGCTGACGCTTTCGTGACTATCCGGACGTTTCTTTGGGATATCCTTTGTCCTGTGCTGACAGGCGTGCACTAATAATAACCATGACCACGATCAAAGGCAGCTTGATCAATCATATGCAATCGATAGAATTTGCCTCGCGTTTTTACCTCGCGTTTTTATTTTTCCCTCTCGGACTGATCTTGCCCTTCAGCATTTGATATAGAGCTATCGAGTATTCAGCATAGGGCAATAATACCAGAGTATGTAGCATGGCTGTCCAGGCCCAAGTGCACTATAGCGGCCATGCTGATTACTCGAACGAAACAAGCGAGCTTTCCCTCCCTGCATGGACCCATCGATCCTCAAAGCTCTTTGTGTCGTCCAGGTCGAATTCTGTGCCAGATCTAGACAACAGGAAATTGCATTTCGCTTTGTTTTGAGGCACTATCGTGATAGGAAGTGAGGGGGGCCATTGCCATATACGGATACGAAGTATGTTTAGTCTCACCTGGTCAGCTCTTTTGCTTCTTGGAAATGGCTGGTTGATATCCACACTTAGAAGCAAGCCCTAACCCGGCCGCTTCGTGATTCCCCATTTTCGATGTTTTACAGGAAAACGTGTCCAACTTGCTAGGATACTAGTTAATTAGATTTCAAATACAAAATTCCGGACCTCTCGTCTAAAGTAAACAAGGTAGGAGGGAATTTCTCGAGATGATCAGCAATACCAGCTCAGACCCGTCGTCTGGGTTCGAAAACGAGGTACACATTCTGTTTCTGGAACTGAAAATTTGGGAATTATTGTCATTCTCTTTCATAAGGTCATTTACAAATCAAACATCAATCTTTGGCTGCTTTGCTACCTGTGGTTGCTGCCCTTGTTCATTGTTTTACATGCGCCGTTCGAAGTCCGACGATACTCTTGTTTTTTCTTTGAACTGACCGGCCTCGGTAGGTCGGATTCTTGGTCTGTTCTGTTGGCTTTTTTTCTCTCATTCTCATGAGCTGGTATTGATCTTCTACATTCCCTCGGAACTTTGATTTGAAGTGAACAAATGCCCACAGCATAGTGTCGACAAACCGTATACACCTGCTGCAATACAGCTGCTAGTAACCTTGAGTAATTTGAGCCAAAGCCACTTCCAATTGCAAGTAGTGAACTTGTATCAAGACTGACCTGAAACGCTCTTTGTCAAGGCCCTCGGCGTATCTGCAATAGGCTGGGCGCGGTCAACAAAGAAGAAGCCTCGAAAAGATATTTTTAATTATCTTTGTGTTCGTAAGTATCTGCATGTTTCTTCGTTGCTCTCTGCTCATGCTTTGTCTGCTGACACGAATAGGTAACCCGTCTCCGTCTTCTATTAATATAAAGCCAACATGTCCAAAGTTATCCTCGACCACGAACACAACCACGACTTTCTTGACTTGAATTAAGTCTCTTCTATCACCAGATCAATCATTATCATCATCATAACAGCAGCAACTGATAGTAAGTACGGTCCTCGTGTTATCATTTTATATATTCTCTGACTAATAAATAACCAGACCGTAAGGCCATCAAGCGACTTGAAAACATGGCTAGAACACGAGGAATGGCTTCGGGCACCCAGCCAAGGGTCCAGCCTCCCGCTGCAAAACCTAGCCAGGCTGAAAGGGCCGCCAAAGCGGCCAAACTACAGGCTGAGAGGGAGGCAAAGAAGGCTGCAGCGAAGGCCGAGAAGGACGCAGAGAAGGCTGCAGCAAAGGCCGCAAAGGCTGCCAATACCAAAAGCACCACAAAGAGCACAAAGAGCACACCTGCCGCGAAAACTATAACTACCAAAATCACCAAGGTAGCCAAGGTAGCCAAGGTAGCCAAGGTAGCCAAGGTAGCCAAGGTAGCCAAGGTAGCCAAGGTAGCCAAGGCAGCCAAGGTTGCGAAGGTTGCGAAGGTTGCGAAGGTTGCGAAGGTTGCGAAGGTTGCGAAGGTTGCGAAGGTTGCGAAGGTTGCGAAGGTTGCGAAGGTTGCGAAGGTTGCGAAGGTTGCGAAGGCTGCGAAAGCTGCGAAAGCTGCGAAGGTCGCCAAGAAGGCGAAAGCCGCAAAGAGAGTTAGTGCAGTTACCCTGCAACCTCAAGCAAATCAATACGACGAAGATGAAGATGAAGACGAGGAAAACGAAAATTACGATGAACAACAAGCCAAAAGGCGCAAGATTGAGACTCAAGCTCTTCGCAGACCTTATGTGGAAGTCAGCGCACCTAAAGCAAAGCCTCCCGTTTTCCAAATTGGGGAATGGGATTACATGAGGAAAACAGATATCCCAGAAGGTCTGGAGAACGAAGATAACAGACCCCTACCACACATCTATATCGGAGGCACTGCACCACAGCCTCGTTGGGTGATCACTCAAAACCAGTCCATACTGCTCCCTGTCAAGCGAGGATCTGACCCAAATTCCAGCTCCGGGAGTAGGGATAGGTGGGAGTTTGGAGGTTTACAGTGGACCTTTGAAGAAGGCGATTTCCAGAAATGGACCGGGATGGCATACCCAGCTCTTTACGAACTTGCGTTCTTGTGCCTCGAGCATACGCTCACTGATACAAAGGTCCGAGAGCATATCTATGATTCCCTAGCCAAGGGCCCCTTGCCCAAGGAGGCGACTGAAGGGATCAGATGGTACCCAGCTCTGCCGCCAATTCCCATCACAAGGTACTTTGTGGCTGGATCTTCCACGCAAACTAGTCGAAAATCAAGTGATGCGACCTTTTATTTTGGAGGTTATGAGCGTCCAAACATGGCAGCTCGAGCTCGTGATGAACGTCTTGCGCAGCTGTATCCGCAGGCCGTGGCTTCCAGTCTATACAATAGACCGACATTCGAGGGATGGCCAACTGCCCCGCGCTCTGCAAGTCCAGATTCGGAAGGCGAGGAGCACAGTGAGAAGGGCAGTGAGAAGGGCAGTGAAGGAGATCAGTCAGTCGAGTCCAGCGCGTCTGTGGTAGGGAAGCCTTACCTGGAACGAAATCCAACGGACACTTTCTCCGAACCGACAGCAACTCTTTCACTTCAAAACGAGCAGCGCGTCAAGCAGAACATCAAGCAGCACGTCGAACAGGACGAGCAGGACAGCGATCAGGATAGCGAGCAGGACAGCGATGGTAGTCAGTCAGCCAGGTCCAGGGTGTCGTCTGTGTCTAGAGAGCTTGACGTGGAACTAATTCAAGGGGGCACTTATTCGGAACCGACAACCCCTGTGTCGCTTGGAAACGATGAGAAAAATGCACGACTTGGTGAGTACAAATTTGCTTAGTTTGACGTGATCTTCTCACTCTCTGCATGTTTCTTTGCCTTTTCCTGTATGCATTCAAGGTGGTCAGACGATTGAATCATGGGTGTGTCAATGGATCGGTGTGCCGAGTGTGTCAAAAGCACTGTGAGACACAGTGAGCTACATAGGAGCAGTCCGATTCAAGGCCTCTAGGTCGAGTCTTTGGATTTTTTATCATGGTTTTGGGGAAGAGGAGAGCTAGCTGATCACGTTGACATTATTCATTCCCCTTTACATGTTGCAGACTGGAGACCTGTTCGGGAAATGCGCTAACTGATCGGCTCCAGACACAATCTCGAAAGATGGTTCAATCTTTGGCGACGGCGATGACTCGGATGATGACGCTCGGGATGAGCCTAAATCAGCTCGAGACTCTCGAGAACAATCACCTAACAGCATTTTCTCTGGCTCCGGCTCCGGCAGCGAGGTCAGCGCTTCTTCCAAGACCAGTGAACCTAGCAATGTCAACGTCGCTGACGATAATAGCGCCCAACCGACGAATAGCCTGACCCCAGTATCCCACGATGGGCTCTTCAGCCCTGAACAGATTGAGAGGTATTATAGCGAGAGGAACAGAGTTTGTAAGTAAATTTCTCAGTGAGGTATTCTCAACTGTTTGATTACCTGTCACCCTAGTCAATGATGCTAATGTTTGTTTCAAGTTGAGCAGGAAAGGTTAGGCGGACTTGAACGTCACGCAGCGCCAGAACGAAAGAGTCAAGCAAAGCCGTCACCAAATTCTAAGCCGGACATATCGGGGCCAATCAGAGCCACAATAGAGAGAAGAAGTCTTGGAAGAGAAGGACTTGCAGAGTCAAGTAAACGAAGTCGGGTAGAGTCACCATCAACACCATCACCACCCGCAACTCGAAGGAAGACAACGACTGAGATCGGGGTGGATAACGTTATGGCATTTGCAGATACATTACAAAAACAACGGAACGAAATGCGAGCCGCTGCAGCGGAGAAAATATCAGACAAACCGTCGGGGACACCGTTTAAAAAGTGTACACCAAATCGAGCAGGTGCAAGATCGCAGGCAAATGCACCTAGTCCTGATATTCTGCCTAATCTGCAAGACAGGTTTCTGGAACAGACCAAGGCATATCTCAATGATCCAATTCAGAGGGCGAAACATTTCCCTGACCCTCTTGCTGTTCGCCGAGTTAGAGTATGGGCAGGGGAGGAATTGGTGGGCCATGAGATCAAACCCACAGTCGACGCTATACTGCCCCCTTGGGCTGAAAGGCATCGGCCTTTCAGTCAATGGCAGGATCCGGTAAGTGCCTCATTCATTGAGCTTTTTGAGAACCGCACTGATCACAATCGATTAGACTGGGATAACCCCTGGGCCTGCGGCGCGTACAAAGGTCTCGAGATGCAAAAAGCGGAGCAAGGGACAAAGTAAGAGAAGACCAAGACCAGCATCTGCAAAAGAGCAGTCCGTCAGTTCAGCCCGGTGGTCCCCGTTTACATAAGTGTGTGCTGTGTGGCTTCATGGCATCGTAATTGGGCTTGGGGTGTTTCTATGGTTGGATGGTCGTTTAATCGGAGTTAGATAGATTCAGCGTTTGGGATGTTTATGCCTTTTTATATGAGTATGTTGATTTCACTTTATTTTTTAGCAGATGTATATTCTTTCATTTGACCGTAATCATTCAAATGTTCTTGATAATTCGTTTCATTCTTACAACACTAGGTTGGAGCAATATATATTCCGTAAAACGTAGCTAAATGTCCAAGAGATCGGAGCAGACCTCAGGACCTCAGGATCTCAGGAGAATAATTCCAAGGTTGGTGGTCCTTCATATTGTCCCGTTGTAGGCATTATCGCGAGGCAACGCCTAGTTGCATAGTATTCAAATAACTTTCATGGCTACAAAAGATAAGAGATATCTACAGCTAGGCGAATTGTAAGCAAAAAATCTCTTAAAGGTGTAAATGAAGGACTTGATCTATACAACAGGTTCTACGGCATTTATATTGCTAGACGTCACGTGCAAACCGAACAAACAGCTCACCCGCCGTCTGGTATCTTTCGTCTTTGTTCGCGAAAGTCGAATCGATTTGACACCCTGGGATAATGGATCAATTTTGGAATTGAGCAAATATCTCGAGGCATACAGCTGCATCGATCGTGACCGATCTGTCCTCGCTGGTACAGAACAATCGCGGCTGCTAGCTTCGCCGTAACGGCAGACTCTCACGATGTTCACTTTCACTCCCCTCCTTGGCGCCCAGTCGTCATCTTCAAGGGCATCGCAGTCTATCCTGGAGCTTGATGGAGGCATCAAGATTCTAGTGGACGTTGGTTGGGATGATAAGTTTAACACCCTTGATCTAGCGGAACTTGAGAAGTGAGCATGCGATCAACGCGTTTCCTTTAAATTTAGATGAGCTAACATTATCGTTAGGCATATTCCTACACTTTCTCTCATTCTCTTGACGCACGCGACGCCGGCACATATCGGCGCTCTAGTCCATTGCTGCAAAACATTCCCTCTCTTCACGCAAATCCCAATCTATGCAACGAATCCCGTCATCGCTTTCGGCCGCACGCTCCTACAAGATCTTTATGCCTCCGCTCCGCTTGCTGCCACATTCCTACCGAAGGCTTCTGTTTCAGAACCGGGCGCATCGTCAGCAGGATCTACGACTGTGTCAGGCGGAGACACCGAAGCCGCTGGCAGCACAAACCGAATACTTCTTCAATCGCCGACAGCGGAGGAAATTTCTCGATACTTCTCTCTCATCCAGCCACTCAAATATTCCCAACCACACCAACCGCTCCCATCGCCTTTCTCCCCACCCTTGAACGGCCTTACTCTCACAGCCTACAATGCCGGTCACACCGTCGGTGGAACGATTTGGCATATTCAGCATGGCTTGGAATCTATTGTCTATGCAGTCGATTGGAACCAAGCTCGTGAGAGCGTGGTCGCGGGTGCTGCGTGGTTCGGTGGATCTGGTGCTAGTGGAGCAGAAGTAATTGAACAGTTGCGGAAACCCACGGCCTTGATCTGCAGTACAAAGGGAGGCGATAAGCTGGCACCTTCGGGGGGTCGGAAAAAGCGAGATGACCTCCTCCTAGACATGATCCGAAGTAGCCTTGCGAAAGGTGGAACAGTCCTCATCCCAACAGACACAAGTGCACGAGTTCTTGAACTGGCCTACGCACTAGAACATTCCTGGCGCGATGCTGCGAATGGCGACAAAGAGGATGTTCTTCAAGGAGCTGGGTTGTATCTGGCTGGCAAGAAGGTTACCAACACAATCCGACTCGCCCGAAGCATGCTGGAGTGGATGGACGAAAACATTGTTCGCGAATTCGAAGCAGCGGAAAGCACAGATGTCACAAACGGACAAAGGACGGGTGGACAGGACAAGAGCACTAACAAGGGTGGGGGCCCGTTCACTTTCAAACACCTCAAGATCATTGAGCGCAAGAAGCGACTTGAGAAGCTCCTGGCAGAACCCGGACCTAAAGTAATTCTTGCATCCGATACCTCATTGGATTGGGGATTCTCAAAGGATGCGCTCCGACAAGTAGCCGAAGGACCCAACAATCTGTTGTTGCTGACGGAGTCCTTCCGCAGGGACATGCAGACCCAAGAATCGAAGCCATCACAAAGTTCGCCAACAATTGGAAGCATGATCTGGCAATGGTACGAGGAACGAAGAGATGGTGTGGCCCTAGAGAAAGGATCCGATGGTGAACACATCGAGCAAGTCCACAGCGGTGGACGAGAATTGTCTTGGACAGATGTGCAGCGAGCCCCTCTCGATACTGGGGAGCAGTTAATATACCAGCAGTATCTCGCCACCAAGCGCCAACTTCAGGACACATCTCAAACACTTGGCCAAGAAACTCTCGAAACCGCGGTGGATGCCCTCGATGATGGATCGAGCTCTACCTCCTCCGAGGACTCAGATCCTGAACAGCAGGGTCGTGCGCTGAACTTCTCGGCCTCACTTGCACACGCTACTCGAAGCAAACTTGCCGTCAGCGATGAAGACCTGGGCATCAACATCCTTCTTCGTCGAAAGAACGTTTATGATTATGACGTGCGTGGCAAGAAGGGCCGCGAGCGCATGTTCCCTTATGTGGCACCGAGAAAGAAGGGAGACGAATATGGAGAATTCATCCGCCCAGAGGAGTATCTCCGAGCCGAAGAACGTGAAGAGATTGATATGCAACAACGACGTACCGATGCCGAGACTAAACTGGGTCAAAAACGACGATGGGATGATGTCGCCGGCCCCCATGGACGCAAGCTGTCTGGCGGCGCAGCAGGACGGAAGCGTCCTCACATTGATGGCAAGAAAATTGACGATGATGATCTCAGCCTTGCCTCCGATGGTGAAGACGCTGACGTAGCTGCGGAGTCCGAAGACGAAGTAGAAGGCCAGTCATTTGAAGGTCCTGCAAAGGTTCTTTACCATAGCCAGACCATCACTATCAACGCTAGAATTGCGTTTATCGACTTCATGGGCTTGCACGACAAGCGCAGCTTAGAGATGTTAATTCCACTGATCCAACCTCAAAAATTGATCCTTGTTGGTGGTATGAAGGAAGAGACGTCAGCATTGGCAGCCGAATGCCAGAAACTGCTGACAGTCAAGCTCGGCGCTACCAGTTCTGACCCTGCGTTTGACTCGGCTGCCATTATCTTCACTCCGGCGAACGGCGAAGTAATCGACGCAAGTGTCGATACAAATGCCTGGATGGTCAAGCTGAGCAACACGCTCGTCCGACGCTTGAATTGGCAGCACGTCCGTAGCCTCGGCGTCGTTGCTCTCACTGCACAATTGCGAGGACCGGAGCCTATCGCCTCCGAGACCGGGGATGTTGAAGTAACAGGCAAGAAAATGAAGCTGCTGAAAGACGAAGCAGCCTCTTCCGCTGTCGCCCCGACATTGGAACAATCAGACACCAAAATAATTGACAAGGTGGAGACCTATCCAGTACTGGACACTCTCCCAGCTAGCATGGCCGCAGGAACCAGGTCCATGGCTCGCCCTCTTCATGTCGGTGACTTGCGATTGGCCGATCTTCGCAAGCTGATGCAATCCGCTGGTCACACTGCCGAGTTCCGAGGCGAGGGAACGCTTCTCATCGACAAGTCCGTAGCTGTGCGCAAATCGGGAACGGGCAAGATCGAAATTGAAGCAACGGCGCAGTCTTCACTGGGTCGTCCTGCTGGCCGTGGGATAGGGAGCTTCCTTGCTGTCAAAAGGAAAATCTACGAGGGCCTGGCTGTTGTTGCAGGCAGCTAAGGCTATGCACGTGATATGTATTTCTATCTTTTCCCGGTGTATAACTTCATGATCAACAAAGCAATCATAGCCATTTCTTTCTTCCAAACACCAAGAGATATAATCAAACAAGTTTTCTTCTAATAGCTTGCCCAAGTCAATGCTGCAGGTAGTACTCTATTCAAAAACATTATCACGCATAATTTTAACCCGAAACCAACATGACCCATTTGCAAATGCTCAAATCCCCAACAAGCATGAGCATAATCTATGTCTAATCCATCATCTAGAAAATGAAACCACAAGTCGTCGTGGTGTAAGAGAAGAATCTGCCATCTAAACAGTGATATCGCTTGACTCTTCGGAATCATTGCCATCGTCCTCAGTGGGAATTTCTCGTATGATATCATTGGTTTGAGGACCAGTGTACTTTCTGTAGAAAGAAATCAGGACATGTCAGTATCCACTTGAATCATGATAAAAGAACGGTATAGATATCTTACCCTCGAGCTGCAACCCACCACCATATCATAGCAAAAGCGGCAATAAAGCCGCCAACACAAACGGCATAGTTCCTGCATAGGACATGTTAGCAACATTTCTCATAATTGATCAAAGACCGGGTTCAAGCGACTTACATATTCGCAGGTGTCACAGGAAGCTGTGGGGGGAAGAAAAGAATTGTACTGATGAACAAGACCCAAACAATAGCAATGTAGTTGATTGAAGTACCCCATTTGCCGAGCGTAAAGGGGCCCTCGATGAACTTGACTTTCGATTTATAGAGCTGATGGGCGAGAATGACAGACACGTAGGACAGGTCTAGTGCCGGTGCAGTGATATTGAAGATTGCGGTGGCTGTTTGCGTGGAGCCAATGGCGATGCAGTTCAGACCTACGCTGAAGATGACCACGAACCACACTGCATTGACAGGGGTATGAGTGCGAGAATTGACCTTGGATAGGAACCTATAATGTATCAGTGCTGAACTGGATCGAGTAGAAAGGTCAGAAGCATCCTACTTTGAAAATGGAAGCGCATTGTCTCGGGCAAAGGCATAGGCCATTCTTGTATCTGCCAGCATGGCTGAACATCCTGTGAAAAATTGGACCAAAATGACAAATGCCCACATGATTGTGCCACCTCGTTTCCCACCGGCATTGAGGAAGATCTGGGCCGCGGGCAGACCGGTAGGGGTTGTTAGAATTCCCTCAAAATCGTTTAGACAGAAGCACATTGAGACGGTTAGGAGCCACCCGAGTGCGCCGGATACTAGGACGGCTGTTTGGATAGCAACTGGTCCTCGCACGGCGGCATCATGTGTTTCTTCAGACATACTACAATAAAAGTGAAAGGTTAGAATGTAAATTAGCAGAAATAATTTTGGGGTCGCATACTGTGTCGTTCCATCGTAGTCGGTCATTGTCCAGGCAACAGATAAGAAGCCCAAGAAGAAAGAAAAGACCTTTGAGCCCCATCCTGAGCCGTCAGTGAAATTGCCGAAGACCCAGGATACTGGCTGTAGATTGGGGGTAAGGGTAAGCAGCGCAATGCAGATACAGATAGTCGCCCCAACTTGCGAAAGGAGCGCGTTAGTACAAGTTCAACAACGAAGTTCCCTTAATACATACTGTTTATGGGAGCAAACCACATGATGATTCGATGCAAGGATTTTGTGCTCAATGAACAAATCACCCCAAGAATGCATAGAATTGCGATTGATACTAGAACAGTCTCTAGCGCCGTTCTTGAATGATATCAGCCTAGAAACATAGCAACCGGGTCTGGCTAACTTACGGTGCATACGAATACTTGCCATCGACAAGATCCGAATTCATACTGACACAGGCCAGCAACATCTGACTGACCGTGTATGCCACACTGGAGACTCCCGCTGTCTGCCCAAGGAGGTTACACCAGCCCTGGATCCAGGAGAAGATAGGGACCTGGTCGGGAGGCACGACGTGCTTTGTGACAAAGTACATTCCTCCAGCCGTGGGATATGCCGAGACTAACTCTGCCACGGAGCTTCCAATGCACATAGCCATGCATGAACCGATCAGCCAGCACCATACAGCTGTTGCTGGACCGCCAGCCGCTAACGGTGCACCAAATGTCGCCGGCACCGAGCCGAGGACTCCCAGAATAGAGATGGCATATGAGACGGTCGACCATTTGGAAAACTCTCGTCGTAACTCCTAGTCCGAGTAGATCGTTATCAGATTGTGCCCCGCTATGCTTGTCCCAAGGGCTGCGGGCAATACCTGCTTATAGCCGATGCGAGCCAGCAACAGCTCATCATCATCGTGAATAGTCGCCATTGTAGGTTGAAGAGGAGCCGGTGGATCTCCTCTTTCTTTCCTAGGCTTGCAATCCGGGTCTGGTTTTACGGTCAGGCCCATGATAAGGAGTATGTGACCAATGTATATGCAAGGAGCTTTAGGGGAGCAAAGATAAGGAGGAAAAAGAAAAGAGAATTCTCCGGACTTACAGAAATCCTGTATTATATCTACGATGTACGGAGTATAGTCGGCTCAGGAGACCGGGCTAAAGGGAAGCCCTCAATGCCGGGAAAGAGACGGTGAGATGAACACGCCAGAAAAATAATATGAACCCTCTAAGGAGCTTGAGCCGAAGCTAGGATTAGACATATGACGTGATTGGAGGGAATATGATAAGCGTAGAACTGGTCAAAAATGGCCAAGCCATGCAAAGACCAATTGCTGTGCATTGAGGTGATGACACGATAAAGAGAAGGGTTCCATCAAAGGGCCTCCGAATGGGATGGTCTCCGAATCGCTAGTCTGTCTCTAACACGGAGTAACACAAAGTGGGTAATAGCGGGTGATACATTTTATTAAGGACAGGTTGGCAAATTCAAAGCTATTGTCTATAATAGTAATATTTAAAGAAGAAGAACATTGAAGTAGAAGTAGAAGTACAACGAACATCCAGTTCAAAGGAGACCCACGTGAAGAACCTCGGAAGCACGTAAATCCGAGTGAGTTTAGGTGGTCAATCCGGTATATCATCAACATAGGAGTCTCTTGTTATTCGTTATTCCCTAATTCCGTTCCATACGTGATGATTTGTTGAGATTTTGTGTTTCTCTTCATTTCTCAATTGTGTGACTTCTCTCGCCTTTTCACACCCCGCGGCATGATCCACCATGGCCGACCCTTCAATGTATAACACAATGGGTCAGGGATCTGCCGACCCCTCCAATCCACAGTACATGGCTCAAGCTCCCCCTCACCAGCATCCTACTGGGAATCCTCCCGGCGCCGCGCCTCCACAACCAGGAGCGCCTTACGCCAACCCAGCGCCGAATCAGTGGCCCGCCTACGGCTCACCACAACAACCGGGTTTGGCGAGTCCCGGCATCGCATACAATACACCACAACAGCCAATGGGTGCAGCAGGAGATCCTAGTGTGGCAGGCCTATCCTCTCAGATGAGCGGGCTGGGAATTGCAGCAGATGCGGGGGCCAGGACACATCGGAAGAAGCACCGTCATGCTCACCACGACATCGGGGGTGGTGCAGCACCCCCTGCGCAAGGATTTAATACTGGAATGGATCAAGGAGGTTTTCAGCAGCCGCAGCAACAACAGCAACATTCGCAGTTCCTGAACACGGGCTTGAATCAGCATGCTGAGCGACCAGTTTCCCCGGCGGTGGGGTTGGTATCTGGACAGTCTGTCGCCGATATACCTGGCATGCCGAGTGGTGCAGGTTCTGTCCCTACTTCAGGCCGAATTGACCCAGAGCATATTCCCAGTATCCCACGATCGCGTGACCTGCCCGCTCAGTACTATTTCAACCATGTCTACCCGACAATGGACCAACACCTCCCCCCACCAGCGGCGATTCCGTTCGTGGCTCAGGACCAGGGTAACTCCTCTCCTAAATACGCTCGTTTAACGCTCAACAACATTCCCTCCGCCTCTGACTTCCTTACCTCGACCGGCTTGCCATTGGGCATGATCTTGCAGCCCCTCGCGCCTCTGGATCCTGGCGAACAACCGATCCCCGTGCTGGACTTCGGGGATGTTGGTCCCCCGCGATGCCGACGATGCCGAACATATATCAACCCATTTATGTCCTTCCGATCTGGCGGCAGCAAGTTCGTTTGTAATATGTGCACGTTCCCGAACGATACGCCCCCGAATACTTTGCGCCGCTGGACCCGTCCGGTGCGCGTGTGGATCGCATGCAGCGTCCTGAATTGTTGATGGGAACTGTGGAGTTTACAGTCCCGAAGGAATACTGGATCAAGGAGCCGGTAGGCCTTCAAACCCTCTTTGTGATCGATGTCAGCCGGGAGTCGGTTCATCGGGGATTCCTCAAGGGTGTTTGTGCAGGTATCAATGATGCTCTGTATGGCAATGAGGATGAACCATCAGAGGGCACTGAAGGCGATGAATCATCACGAAAATTGCCCGTTGGAGCGAAGGTTGGCATCGTTACGTATGATAAGGAGGTGCACTTCTACAACCTGACCGTATGTGTTCCTCGCTCTGCGACGCTTTTGTCTATTAACACGTTCACAGGCGTCATTGGAACAAGCTCAAATGATGGTTATGACCGATATGGATGAGCCATTTGTGCCGTTGAGTGAAGGTCTCTTTGTGGACCCATATGAATCGAAGTATGTGATCAATTATTCCCAGTCTCCTATGGATTACTAACTATGCTTAGGTCGGTGATCACTTCTCTTCTCAGCCGGATACCCAAAATGTTCTCTTCTATCAAAAACCCTGAGTCAGCTTTGCTGCCGACATTGAACTCGGCGCTATCCGCACTGCAGGCTACAGGTGGCAAGATCGTTTGCGCGCTGGCTAGCTTACCTACCTGCGGTCCGGGGCACTTGTCAGTCAGAGAAGATCCTAAAGTTCATGGAACGGATGGGGAACGGAAACTATTCACCACAGAAAACCCAGCTTGGAAGAAGACGGCAAGCAAGTTGGCTGAAGCTGGCGTGGGCTTGGATCTGTTCATGGCAGCCCCCGGTGGCACCTACCTCGATGTGGCAACAATTGGTATGTTGAAGACGTCATTGCGCTCTATACGGAGTATCAGCTAACTTGGTCCATAGGACATGTTTCTAGTCTTACCGGAGGCGAGACCTTCTTTTACCCTAATTTCCATGCTCCGCGCGATCTTCTCAAGCTGCGGCATGAAATCACTCATGCCGTTACTCGTGAGACGGGATATCAGACCCTAATGAAAGTCCGATGCTCCAATGGACTCCAAGTGTCCGCCTACCACGGAAACTTTGTCCAGCACACACTCGGTGCTGATCTGGAGATTGCCGGTGTCGATGCCGACAAGGCCTTTGGCGTGCTCTTCAGCTACGACGGGAAACTTGATCCCAAGCTGGATGCGCACTTCCAGGCCGCCTTGCTTTACACTTCCGCAGACGGTCAACGTCGTGTCCGATGTATCAACGTTGTGGCGGCTGTGAATGAAGGAGGTATGGAGACGATGAAGTTTGTCGATCAGGATGCCGTGGTCTCGGTTATTGCCAAAGAGGGTAAGTTGACAATTCTATTAGAAGACATTGACTATGTATACTGATACCATTATAGCCGCCTCGAAAACTCTGGATAAGACCCTCAAGGACATCCGAGCCAATATCTCAGAGAAGACAGTCGATATATTCAGCGGATACCGCAAGATCTTCTCCGGCTCGCACCCACCGGGCCAGCTGGTTCTACCTGAGAACCTGAAGGAGTTCTCGATGTACATGCTTAGCTTGGTCAAGTCAAGAGCATTCAAAAGTGGACCCGAGTCATCAGACCGACGGGTGCATGACATGCGCATGATCCGGTCAATGGGCTGCACGGAAATGTCCTTGTACCTCTACCCTCGCATTATCCCCGTGCACAACATGCAGCCGGAAGATGGCTTTGCGAACGAGCACGGACAGCTCCAAATCCCGCCCTCCCTGCGAGCCAGCTTCTCGCGTATTGAAGAAGGTGGTGTCTACATTGTGGATAACGGCCAGGCAATCCTACTCTGGCTGCACGCGCAGGTCTCGCCCAATTTACTGGAGGATCTATTCGGGCCAGGCAAGGACTCCCTTCAGGGTCTGAACCCCAACACCTCAGCCCTGCCTGTGCTCGAGACGCACCTGAACGCACAGGTGCGTAACCTGCTGCAGTACCTGTCGACAGTGCGTGGGTCCAAGTCCGTAGCGATCCAACTGGCCCGGCAAGGCCTGGACGGGGCGGAATACGAGTTCGCCCGACTTCTTCTGGAGGACCGGAATAACGAGGCCCAGAGCTATGTGGACTGGCTTGTGCACATCCACCGTCAGATTAACTTGGAGTTGGCTGGTCACCGCAAGAAAGACGAGGGTGGCGAAGGCGCATTGGCTAGTTTGTCGGCCATGCGCGCTCCGTATTGGTAGATGCCTGATCCGGGATCATCCGCCTAACCCCCCGTCAGGCACCGTTTTCTGCCGGTTGGTTCCTGTCTAGACTCTGCAGCTTACCTGCAGAGAAGGAAAGTGGAGGGGGCTTGATTGGTGGGGGGCTTGATGGGGGTAGGGGTCCAGCATGTCCCATACTGAGGTCCACGGGTGACTGTGGCGCTGACTTCAGTGGCTTGCAGAGGCACCTAGGCAGTGGAGTACCCCGAGCTCAACAGGGGGCCAAAAAACAGAATAATTGTGAGACGGAGAAATCATTTGTGTATACCAGGGGTAGTTTCTTTTATTATTGCGAGTTTGTGTCACAATCTCCGTGCACATGGTAAATGCCATGGTCATACATTCCACACCTATTGAAACTATTTAAGGTGTTCGAGTTCTAGAACTAAATATCCCGTGTACAATGTAGAATGCCAAAAAGAATCCAGACTCGATCGCCAGGTACGGTCAAGGTACGGTCAATCATAAAGGCCCAGATCAACGTCAGAGGCGTCTGGTGGGCCCCGGGGGTGCTGCTAAATGGGTCATAGGTTCAGGGTCTTTGACACCGAAGATTATTCCAATATTGTATGCAGGTGGATTTTCTTGTAAAATGGTCCAAGCTGTGGAGTGTCAGCTCCCTACCTATTCGGGATAAGTTGTATAGTAATTATCTTGGACATGGGGGACAGGCCAGTTGGATTGGTAATCATAGTAATCTGTAGGAGATATTATTACTGGCTCAACTGATCCTTAGAATACTACATTGTATATTGCATATAATTGTCTAGATTGTCTAGTAATATCCTACTTGCCACCATTATGATGCTAAAGTATACACCTTTCTCTTCGATATTGCTAATATTTGCCCCCTTTGACTTTAATTCTAGATTCCAGATTTTATTCAATCAACTCCCGAATGTAATCCGAAGGAATGGGATAGAAAACTTCCATGTGGTGGCCACCATAGAATGAGCTCTAATCCCCCAGTGGTTCCTGGCGAGAATACGAGCTAAGTGGCTGCACAGCCTCTTAGCCGAATTTCTTCCATGTTCTTTGCCATGAAATTTTGCTGGTTCGAAGTTTGTGAATCGGTTCCTTTGATCTGTTTGGAAGAACCGCGGAGGCCCGGATGGACATGACGTGGGGTTTCCGGGCAAGGAGTTTGTTCGGGCGAGAAGATGTGGGCGCTATTGCCACAATCTTATTGGGGATTTCAGGTGTTAGTGGGGTAGTTTCTAGTGGTAGATTGTAGAAACACACAGAAGTTACTATACCCACGCACCTAACCGCCTAGACTATGGGCCTACACATAGAGTTATAACGTACATATACGATGTACATGAAGCGGTGATGCCCTTGGTAGCAATGCTTGCAGTTTATAAGCAGATGTATATATCTTACATATCTGATATATATTGCATTCTTACATGCCCTGAGAATCTCCCTGGGCTCTGAAACTCGAAACTGGAGGCGAGACGCCCTGATCTTGGTTCCACTCTTTCTTTTTTTCTGGAATTTCTTTTTTTTTTTATTCGCCTTTTTGCCTTTCAATTGACCCACAATTCCCTGAATCGATCCATGGCTCGAATGTGTGGGTGGCTTTTGCACGTTTTCTTGCCATGTGTACCTATATGCGATATCCCAGATCAAAACCTATATAAACCCCCTCGATCACCCCGGGGATTTCTATTCTTCAACACATTCACTACAAGTACAAACAGTACATTCCTTCTTTATCCTTTTTTATATTCATTCTCTTCAGTCTCGAGATTGACTCTCGTTACACTCTTTACATCTGTCGATCAGTTTCAAATATCCCAACTATATCACTCTCTACATCTTATCTTAAATCCTCATTCAAGATGATGTTCACCAAGACTCTCGGCCTTGCCGCCCTCTTCACCACCATCGCCTCAGCTCTTCCCCAGGACATGGTCCGTCGCTCAGGCATGGTCCGTCGTGACGGCGGCGGTGTCAAGATCACCAACAACCTCCAGCAGGACGTCTACGCCTGGTCCGTGGCCGGCGACGTCGGTCCCATGCAGACCATCACCAGCAGTGGTGGCACCTACTCCGAGACATGGCGCACCAACCCCAACGGTGGTGGCATTTCCATCAAGCTGGCCCTCGACCCTGAACAGAACGATGTGCTTCAGTTCGAGTACACCGAGGCCGGCGACACCATCTTCTGGGACATGTCTTGCATCGACATGCAGGCCGGAAACAACAAGTTCACAGACTTCGGCTTCTCCGTCGTGCCTTCTGATGAAACTTCCACTTGCCCCACGGCCATTTGCAAGGCTGGTGACACCGCTTGCTCTGCTGCTTACCTCCAGCCCACTGATGACCACGCCACCCACGGCTGCCCCATCGACACTGCTCTTGAGTTGACTCTCGGCCAGTCCTAGATTCGTCCTGTGCTTTGACTTTTTGCCGGTTGAACCGTGCATCCTTTCGTTTTTATACCTTTCACACTCGCATCTAGCCCTAGTTGGCAGATGATTTTTTTCTTTCTTTTCATATATTACCCGAGATGGTGATGCTTTTTTGAGATGAGATTGGTGATTTTTTTATGCAACATGTTCGGTTGATTCGACATGTCTTCTCCCCATCTATAGCAGGTTGATTCCCGCTGGGGCAGGATGTCTCGTCACGAGCTATGATTTCTTACGGTTTTGGAATACCCCCCGCACTTGGGATTGAATATGGAAAATGGGAGTTATACATGGGGGAGAAAAATAGACTTGCGAATAGACAGATGATCATCAGATCTTGAAGATTTACAGATTTACACGAAATATACGATCTTTACCAAAAACCTTCCAATTTCTTAACATTACATTTAACTTCATTACATTTAACTTTTAACTATTTGCCTAAAAGCAAAGGAAAAAAAGGAACTTGAAAACTTGAAATCATTGGGAAAGAAAAAAGCCCTGAAAAAGGCCCAAAGACAGCAACGCAAACAGGTAAAATCCCCGAATCCACAAATGATCACATAAAATATAATAATAGTGGAACCACGAAGACGCCAAACAAAGAACAAGTATAATCGCAATCTAGAACAAGTGATGGACAGGGACCCCAACGCACAAATCTCCTATTCGTAGATCTAACTCCACATGTCAGGTCCATTGTACAGAATGTCGATCCTCCGCCAGTCGGATGAGCGGATGGCGTTCAAGGTGTCCACTGAGGGGTTGCGTGTCCTCAAGATTTTCGATTGGAGATTTCCGACTCGAAGCCTCGATTTGGTGGAAAAAAAAAATTCGTTCAAAGGACCGAGGCGTATTAATTTGGCTATGATCTGCTTTGATCTGCATTTTACGTTGTTAAACAATATTTACGGTGTTGTCATTCAGGTTTTAGTGCGCGGTTTTATCATATTAGTTTCGTCATAGGGCTATAGATTGCTATGTTGTACATATATGCTGTACAACGAGTATACTATGGAGTACACGTGGAGTAGGCAGGTACATAACTCAAAGTGCCGAGTTATCCATTCACGACCAGCAGACGGTGTTTGACAGAACTGTTCCTATTGAGGCGATATTGATTATCTGGTTGAACCATCCATCGTCAACCATGGAAATATTCGCCTAAATGTTTGGAAAGAACTAATGGGGTTGAACCGGTTGAAAGAAGTTGATTATTAAGGTTCTTTCATCCAATGGACTTGGTTATGCTTAAACCTTTTTCCCACTTCTTTTGCCGTTTAGTCCGTTCTAAACCTTCCACACCCGATGCCAAGACCGCCGGTCTTCACTCGGCGTGGCTTAATTCTTGGTTACGCAGTCTAGAACCATTGTTAAAGGTGGGTATACATTTTGGCCAACTCTATTTTCATTGAATACGTGTTTAGCAAGGCGAATTAATGCCTGTTACGGTTGCCCTGGATGTACCGGGTGGTCTCGGGAACTGTGAGTCACAGGCTTCACCGTTGATTACCGGAGATCAATTAGGCAGGTCATATTTTTCACTTGTTAAGTTTTCATATTAGTCAACATATGCTTTTCCCGATGTAACTAACTAGTGTGTAACTATTGTGTAACGTTTACACATCGCAGCCCTTGATGCCTAACGGCTTGAACATATAGATAACGTGACCAGGCGTCAATATCACGCAAATTCGAACAGTCAGTATTATCTCTGCTTAAGCTGGGTATCTTGGTATTCAAAGTAGTGAATAGTACATAGTTTCTCTGTCACCATTCTTTTTAGCGTGGCTGAAGCCAAGGCATCTATTTGGATATCAAGTGAATCTGGATTAAAGTTTCATTGTTGCCAGTGAACTGGAGTAACATACTCCGTACCAGCCTTGCAGATAAAAAGCCGACAAGAATAGGATCGAAGTAATATACATACATATCTGGGGACGAAAACGATCTAACTACAAGATGGTTGAGAGCAAACAGAGGTGTCACGTGACTAATATGTTCGTTTGTCGTGATAGACGTGTTTATGTGCAAAGTAGCATAAACACAGCATTTGTTTGTGAATTCAACGGCCTAAGCCGGGGCTATTAGTAGCGTGAAAAGCGCAAAAACAATAAAGGAAATAGAGAGGAGGGCTATATCAATCTTGGGTGGGGCCAAATGCCTCAGGCAGAAATTATGATTTGAGGCTCTACATTTATCTTCTATAAAGATGTAAAAAAGGGGAATTAGCGCGAGAACGACCGGAGTCGAACCGGAACAGTCAGGCAGTGGAAGATCCTAGGCACTTCCCTCGTAGTACACATGCATGTTACCACTAGGCCACCCGCTGTTAAGTACCTATGAGGCATTTTGTTGCTCTTCCTTTTATGCTGCACTTTCTAAGGTTTTACTTATACATAGAAACACAGTACTCGCTATGCATGTCCAAGTCAACAGGATAGGATTGGTATTCAACCCTTGAACTGTTTTCTTAAGACTTCATTATCAAGATATCGTCGAGTCTAGTGTAGACATCTCAAAAGAAAGCAAATCGCATGTGTAGGGTATCTCAACTATGTAAACAGACAGTATTCACAGAAAAGAAACCCAGATCTATCTAGCCTTCCTCTGAGCCCGCCACTCCCTCCACTGCTCCATAAGCCTATGCGATCTCATAGCCTTGATAAATGCATAAGCAACAACCCGATAGATAATCGTACAAACACCCAATGCCATAACATTCATCGGCCCACTCTTATCCAGATTGTAGAGTTCAAGCACCTGCTCACCAGAATCAACGGGACAACTCCCATTAGCCAGCCTCTGAGCATCAGAGCAATGAAACACCTGACCATGCATTGCATACGGTGCCAGGTTAGCAATGGCATATTTAATCGGCGAGAGGTGGTTCAGCGCTTGCAGTACATTGTTGACATTAAGACTCATGACGCCGCCGAGGATGGTCGAGATGGAGAGTAGAATGGATGTGACGTTGACTGCGAAGCCGACGTGCGAGAATAGCGTGCAGAACATTATGCCCACGGACTCGCCGCAGCTGATTATGCAAAAACAGTTGAATGTGCTGATGAGGAACATTGTTACGGTGCGTTGGAGGTTGTCTGCGAAGGCGGCTAGGGCGCCGAAGATTAGGGACGAGATTATTTCGAAGGGGACTTCGATTGCGGTATAGCTGAGGATGAATGTTGATGCTGTGTAACAGTTGTCTGCTTCTTCGCGGTAGAAGACGTCGCGTTCGCTGGGGTAGATTGCGATGTTTTGGAGCATGCCTGTTGGGGATATTAGTATGCGTATTTTAAAAAGGACATCCAGCGAAGAGAGCTGGGGAAGAATGGAGTAAACTTACCAACAAAATACAATGCCGCAAACTCCTGAATAAATCCCATACGTGATTGCACAGCCGCATAATCATTCTTCAGCGGCGCAAAGAAAAGCGCCATGATAATCGCTATCCCCGGGATCTGCATCGACCGCGCCATAACCAGCGGCGGCTGTCGCCAGAAATTGATCATCGAGCGACGCAATACCAGCGGGAACGTCACGCGAAATGGCAGCATCTGACGCTTAAGACTTCCCAGTTCTCCAGGCGTGGCAATCTGTGACGTCTGCCGGTCTAGCCCTAGCTCGAGGGGGTTATCTTGCCAGCAAGAAATGAGACCCTGCACACGCTCGCGCGTGACAAGTTCACGGTCTGCTTGTTGGAGGTCGACCGTAATGAGATCCAGGACGAAGTCTGCTGGGTTGGTTGTGCGTGGACACTCGTGGCCTTGCTTGGCGAAGTGCGCGAGCATTTGTGTTCCGGGGCCTGCGTAGACGGGGTAGCCGCCGCGGGCTAGGAGGAGGACTTGGGAGAAGTGGGTGAAGAGGTCTGAGCGGGATTGGTGGAGGGTCAGGATTAGAGTGCGGCCTTCGGCGGCGAGGCTGTGGAGGAGCTCGATTATGGACATTGCTGTGAAGGCGTCGAGGCCGGAGGTTGGTTCGTCGAGGAGAAGGACTTTGGGGTCTGTGAGGATTTGGATTGCGATTGTTACGCGTCGTTTCTCGCCGCCGCTGATGCCTTTGATGAGCTCGCTGCCGATAAGATTGTCGGCGCATTCTTTGAGTCCCATTTTATATAGGATCTCTTCTGCGCGTCGGTTCTTTTCTTCGCGTGACATCCAGGTTGGAAGGCGTAGGCCTGCAGCAAATCGTAGACTCTCTCGGACGGTTAGTGAGGGCATCAGTGCGTCGTCGTCTTGCGTTACGAAGGATGTCACTGAGCGGATCACACTCTCTGAGGGTACTGCGCCATTGTATAGCATGTTGCCATGGACGCGGTATTGTGTCCCTACGGACCCATGCAGCCTGTGGGCTATGGAGTTGAGTAGTGATGTTTTGCCACTTCCAGATGGGCCCATGATAATGTTCAGCTCTCCTGCCTGGAACTTAGCCGTGATGGGTTTCAAAATATGTAGTAGCTTCGCGGTTTTCCAGGGGTATTGTCTCTTTTCAATATCCAAGGCGTACTTGTCAAGCGATATTGCCACTTTGCGCGCCTCCTCTGTCGGGCGGATAGCGAGCTTAGATTTCCCACTAGATGGGTCTCCTTCGGTTTTTCGTGCTTGGGCAACATCTATGGCGAAGCGATTATATTGGAGCAACAGACCGGCGACGAGATAGTGAGCAATGGCAAACGCGACTAACACCACAATAGGCCGCCAGATCCAGTCGGACGGCATTCCCAGGCTTTCCATAATGTAGCGCCCGGTGTATTGCTTGCAGGCCGGGTCTAGAGGGTTATCGGAATATGGACAGGCGTAGAACTGCCCCATTTCCGAGCCATTGGGTCCGATAAACTCGTTTGCACATAAAGCTCCAAATATGTAGAAGGTGTAGGCACACCACTTCAACCACCTCACGTAGACCGGGATCTGGTTAGACTGGACAAAGTAACCACACGCAAAGGATTGCAGCGTAAAGGATAGGTTTGCCACCAGACTAGCTCCAGGGAAACTCCGCGCTACACCAATGGCCACCGCAGCAAATGTTACGGCAATGTAGTGCGTGAGCAGGGTGAGGATGAAGAAGACAAAAAACTGTCCCGGATCCAGACGATATCCCACCATGAAGTAGAAGATGAGGGAGAAAATCAACGGGACGGGAAGGTCCTCCAATGGTAACCGAGCTGCTCGTCGACTGAGAAGGAAAGCTGGCACACTTACCACACCCTCGTTGCGTTCACGATCAAACAGGCGAATATCAATTGTCAGCCGATAGGTCTCGTACAGCAGAATGAGATAGCCGTTCAAGCTGCTAGCAGTGTATAGACTGCCCTGCCGTGAGCGAATCCCTGCCTGACTTTCGTCAAGCCGCAGGAAGATCCACCCATTGATGACAGCCATTCCAACAGCTTCAAGGAGACTACCCGCAACACCCATCGGGTCACGAATGGTAGTCTTGAAAGTGCGAGACGTCAGAACGCTGAACTGTCGACGAAATGAGACCTGCTTCACAGCTCCAGTATCAAAGCTACCGACTTCAGGTTTCGGTGTCTCCTCTTCTCTTTTGCCCTCTGCCTCCGTATCTGTAACTACAGTCTGCTTGGACCGCCACACCTCCCTCAGTCGCTCAACACGAAGATTCGAAGAAGCCTCAAGCTCCTCCGTCCGATTATCAACGGCAGCAAGGTCGATCAAAAACTCCGCCGGATTGACAAACGGCGGAAGAACATATCCGCACTCCTCGAAGTGCGTCAAGGACCCTTCCACCGAACCACTGTAAACTGCCGCTCCCCTGGCCAATAGAACAACATTATCAAAAAGACTCCAGATCTCAGAGCGCGGCGCATGAATCGAGACAACAACGGTCCTCCCATCCAGTGCGAGACGCTTCAGAGTCCTGATAATCTGGAACGCACTAGTAGCATCCAAGCCGGTCGTTGGCTCGTCACAGAAAAGCACGGATGGATTCGCTAGGAGCTGCACGCCGATACTTGTGCGTCTTTTCTCGCCACCACTGCAGCCCTTGTGGGCTGTCGTGCCAATGCGGGTGTCTGCGCACTCTTTTAGGCCTAGTTCAAGAATGACCTGTTCCACGATTGCGTGGCGTTCTGCTGGAGTTGTTGGTGGTGGAAGACGGAGGTCCGCCGAGTAACGCAGTGTCTCGCGGACTGTCAGTGTTGGGATGAGGACATCTTCTTGCATGACGTAGGCGCTGCGAATGCGTGCGATATCGGGGTTATCGTTAAAGGTTGTTGTTCCGCCTGTGTTTGTTCGGGAGAGACTCATTCGGTTGGCCATTAAGTTGAGTAGGGAGGTCTTTCCTGAGCCACTGCTTCCGATTATGGCGGTTAGGCTTCCGCTTGGCATGGAGGCGGATACATTGTCCAGGACTGTTTTGCTGGTTTTTGAGGGCCTTTGACCCCGTAAGCGTTGCCAGATCTGTGATGGTGAGGTCTCCCATATTGGTGGGGTAGTGTTGACCTCGAGTGATAGGTTGCGGACTTTGATGCATACTGGATTTACCGCGCGCAGAGAGAGATTGTATACGGTGTCTCTCACATCTGCGGGGAGAGTCTTTTGCTTTGCGCTCAACTCGGTAATGATCTCATCTTTTTCCATGGTGGGTTTTGCCGGTATCGAGATTGGGCAGACTCACGTAGCAGCTTGGGAGGTCATATTTCTACGAGTCAGACTTCCCTGTTCGAATATGCAGGTGAACTCAAGGAGTGTGATGATCGCAGGACCCCGGATTCTAAAAAAAATTTGAATGGGACGGGTTGGAAAGTCTAAATTCATTTCAGCTGAAATCAATTCTCCTTACCTCGGACCTTCCCCAGACTATACTCAGCCTCTCTTTTAATGCGAATGGACTGAAACGTGGTCCTTGCATAAGCGAGGAGACCTGTTATACTAAGTTATATTGTATGCTATTCAAATAATATGGACTTAAAGACACATAACATAAACATATTGAGACTCTTAGAAAATTTAACTGCTCTTTAAACCGGATGTAATATATGCATAAGATTAATCTGGCATGTCCTTAACCAGTAAAAGAACAAAGAAATAAAGTGAGATGCAAGAATCCAAGGTCTAGACTCGGTGACCCTGCCCAATACACCTGAAAGAAACAACTCCGATACTGTACAAGGATGAAGACCCGATTCCTATTATACCACCCCCAAGGGAAATTCGAATATATACAACCACCTAAACCAAATAACAAGACCAGACCAGGCCACATTTCTCCATAACAACGCATCCAACTCATGAGATCATCCAGTCGACCTTTCGACATCACTCATACACAATAACACCAACTCGGCCCTTTTTTTTTTTTTTTTTTTTTGAATCGGCGGGCTTTTTGGAATGACCGACTTGGCACCTGTATCTGGCCATGCAATGCAATGCAGCCAGAGAATACACCTTTGACACGGAGAGTCCGCGGCGCACCGATGCTTGCAAGCCAAGAAAAAAAAACCACATAAATGCAAACGTAATCGTAATACTCCCCTTCAAGATGCAAATATGCATCACAATCACAGTAACAATGAAATCAAAACGCCGCATAGTACAGCCTCATCTGAGGGGTGATCATCGTGTCCCCACGGTAGGAGACAAAGGGTGAATCCCCTTTCCAAGACGGTAATCAACAAGGAGAGAGCAAAAGAGATAAGGTAGAGTAAATAGAAAATGACAGGGTATCAAAGGTAAAGAGGGGGGAGGATGGGAAAGAAGGCAAGATATGGGAGGAAAGATATTCAAGTAATCAAGAAATCCATATTCATATCACGTATAATCTTTTCCCAGTCCCAACTATCCTGCATCTGGGTATCCATAATCTCCCAAACCCGCGAGACAACCTTGAAAGCAGGCTCGATGTTTCGCAGGTTAGAGTAAGACTTGAGATTCTCGAAGCCCTGCGTAATGCGTTCACGCTGCTCGGGCAAGAACGCAGAACAACCAAGCAGGAACAGCGGCATCAACACAATACTGAAAGCGGATGCATCCTGTGGCAGTTGGTCCAGGTAGTCGAGTCCGTCGTCGACGACCTGCGCGATTTTATCGCTCGGTCGCGAGGGCCGGATCGTCCGATACAGGTACACCCAGGTTGACTGGCGGTATAGCTGGGCCAGACACCAGTTCGGTGTATCGGGCTCGTGCGAAGTCTCCCAAGTGCGAATGGCCATATCAACAGAAACCGCCTCGCTCAGGGTCTGGTAGTCCACTGCTGGTTCATAGCCTTCATTAAAGCGTTCGCGGATACGGTCGCGGAGCTGGGTGATCTGCGAAATGTAGTTGAAGAGACCGTCGAATACACCGACGAACATGCCCGCTGAGACACCGGGTACGAAGTTGGGCATATGCAGATCGTTGTGCAAGAGGTTGGGACGGCGGTCAAGCGAGGTAAGGGAGTTTGAGACATCGTGGTACTGGAAGAACTCGACGATGAACTGGCGGAACTTTTCATTCCGTGGCTGTTGTGACAACAGCAGGTACCGAGCTGCATCCATGTGCGGTCGGTATTCGCCGTTTGTTTCGCCTTCGCAGATGGTGTTCAAGCTGAGGGCGATGGTGGATGCGATGATCGGGTCCTCGACTAGCAGTTGCTCATTGTCATCGGGGCTCTTGGCTGATGATGACGCATTGATATTATCTTTTAAATCTTGGATAGCGTGGTGGAAGTGGAAGTATTTTCGCTCCTTCAGCTTTGGTTCAGGATCCAGACCTGAGAGATGCGATCCGGACAAGCACATTAGTGAATGCATCAGCCCCCTATGTTGTGTCGCCATTGGGAGAAGAATCTCCTTGAAGGGATTCGAATCATCGTTGATAAGTGTCAGTACGCGACTGAAACCGTAGACAAAATGGTCTAAGAAGCGACGGTCGACGTCCGTTTCGATGCCGTCGATGAGGAGGGGTAAGCTGCGCGGCACGGCTGTGAGAGACTGGGATCGAGCTACTGATACAAAAAGGAGTTAGTGTATCATTTCTAGTCAGAATCAAAATGTAAGATGCGCCTACCATCAGCTAGTCTTTGTCTCCCACTCTTCCAAATCTCCTTGAGTGGGTAGCCTTCGCAAACGACCGCATTCTTCTGGCAGTTTTGACAACTATCCCCTATTAGACCAAGACAACCCACTTGGAAGGAACACAACTCACGCAGGCTTTGTCTCATCACACTTCTTCTTCCTCCTTCGACAGGTAATACAACCCGTCTTGGAGCGACCTTTAGTGATCTTGGCTTGACCTCCAGGAACGGGCAGTGGATGTTTGCGTGGGCGACCACGTTTCCGTGGGACAGCAGCGGGAGCGCCCGACTCCACATCCGCCTGTTTGATACTCAACAAGTCATCATCGAGTTCTTCCAGTTCTTCCACCTTGGGTATCTCCATAATATGATCCAATTGCGCCGGGTCGAAATGTGAATACCCCTTCAGGTGGTCCTGGTCGTACGGTGATTTCTCACCATTCCAATCTGGTGAATCGACCGAGGCATCATCAGTGCTACCGCCGGTACTGGCGCTGGACGTGCTGGCTCGGATTATGGAGCCACGAATCCCTAATAAAGGTAGATCCGATCGGTTGTCACGACTTTCTCTCTCCAGAATCTCGTCATTCAAATCCGAGTGGGTAAAGAATGAGGTATGCATGGACAACATTGAAGAAAGGGCATCCGATAAGAGCCCAGATGCGCAATGCTGACAAGAGGGGGGACTATCGGGTATAAATGGAGGGGGGAAGTTAATACGGGAAAATGTGCTTGGTCCACCACAGTGCGTGTGATCAGGGAATACACTTTTAGAATTATCCAGCAAAATAGTCAAGAGGGGGAAATCTAGTCCGATCTGAAGGATATTAAGGATATATTAATATAAGAGTTCTACTAGGTATATAGGACTTTGGTTGAATTCAATGCGTAATGAAAACTCACTACATTATGAAGGCCTATAAATTTATAATATTAAGATTTAAACCATTTGAGTCATTTAAATAAAATAAAATAAATTCTATAAATTGTATAAATTCCCTATAATTCTACGTACTTTCTTCCCAACTTTCTATGCGGGGGAGGCTGCCAAGCATGTTGGATCTGACCTGATTTGCAGTGAAGAAGCCCCAAAAAAAGTAAATTGACAAGGGCATCGTTATGGGGTTTTGCGTTTTATTTGCTTTTTCTTCTTTTTTTTTTTCTTCTCGGGAATTGACTTGCCTTGGAATCGGATCGACCTTGAATTCTTAGTACTATTATACGGGATACCTCATACGATTTTGGGCCGGAGGTTCCGTCTAGTCTATATAGTACATCCATGTATAAGACATGCTATGTTCCTATAATAACGTGGATGATTCGTCACGAGTTATGTACTCCAGATGTAAAACCTGTAAGACATTCCCCCTTGATTTGGGGGGGGAAAAGCTTGGGGCCAAGACAAATAACCCCGGATGTGATGATGCATGGTCCGCGGCCTTTGGGTAGAATGATGTGTACTAATAAGAATTAGTTAGAGATAATTTTTCTTCCCACGAACCATTCAGCTGGTGTATAAGCCACTCCCCGCACTATCGAAGCTTTCTTCTCTTTTTTGTTTTTTTTCTTCTCTTTTTTAAGAAGCGCGTCCGGTGAAATTGATGGGGAGAGATCTCCTATTCTCGGGGACCATTCCCATAGTTCGGGTCTAAGCGCCCGATCCCCGTCCATATTGAAATTTTCACTTAATTTCGATTATTATCTCCTTTTGTGTAACGACAACAAATCTGGGGTAAAGAGTGGGCCAGATCTTCTAGCACGGACATCCGCTGCAGGGAATCGACAAGGTTCGGAATCCGTCGCCCTTCATTCCGCCTATAGAATATACGCAATGTTCTGTAGAGGATCGGTACTCTTTCGCTTTGTCACTCCTTTCTATTTGTGTTCATCCTGCTGTGACCTGTGATAGCCCAAAGGGGTGGAATGTGGCGAGGTCACCAAAAGTACACACGCAATGCTTCCATGGATCTGCCGGGAGACCAACAAGGAAACACACTGGAGTTAATAACGGGCTAATGTTGGGGCCCTCTTTTTAACCCTTTTAACCATTTCGACTGATCAGCTGAGACGCGGCAGAGATGATTTTCATACCCCTGCTAGTTCCTACGTCCGAGCTTCTCCGCTTACGTATGGGGGTTTCATATGGACTCTATGCACTAGGATTGGGCTATGTGAGAAGGTCAATTAGATTCTTGGACTTTCAACTCTTTTTTTTAATGCTCAGAGATCGACTATGCAAGTCCATTGATCTGACGGGGGTGGACCAACGATATGGGCCAATGGCTCGATGACGGTATGTGCCGCTAACGAGTCAGGCAATTTATACGGATGATCTCGCTAAAAATATGGGGAAACGCGAGGTTCTTTTTGTCGCATCGGGATCTTTGCCCTTACTCCGTACGGAGCACCGTGTTCCTCTTTATTTCTCCCATCTATGTGTACTCCGTATACAATCCAACAAAGAAGTGTATCCGCTTTCACGGTTCACGGCGGGTCAACGGTTATTCCCGCCCAGTGGGGCCGAAGTAAAACAAAAATAAAAGATATCCATGGGAGTTTTCAATTTGTATCTTGTTCCTGGTGAGTA